GGCGGTACGCGCGCTTGCAATCAAAACCCTCGTCAAATTGGTGCGGCCTTTACTAACTCGGGCCGGTTTATAAGGCCTGCGACAGAAGCGCTCGGTGCTCCGTTCAAGGTCTGACCTTCTGAGCCGCGTCACTGGTCGAAAGCTTCATGACATCGGAGGTAGCCTCTAAATGCTGCAAAGCTCCTCTTTCACTTGCCCATGCTCGTTACGAGCGCCTTGCCTCAGCTTTGCAGCATCTTTTCGGCTCTTGATGGTACCCTTTAACGAAGCGCGAACACGCATATGAGTATCCGCCGCTCTGGCGGACGACTTGGCAGCCCCCCCAGGTGGCTCGAGAGTCGCTGAGCTCGTGACCAATGTGTTCTTATCAGGAACCTTGTTTGGTTCCTTGCTACAGTAGGTTACATCCTGTTTGGTCTTTTCATCAGACGGGAATCAGACAATGTATCTTCTCACAGTGTCATCGACTCTCACTATTCGCCGCCCGCCCCCCTCACACGAACCTCGACTGTTGGAGTCGCCCACTTCGTGAGCCACGTGCCGAGCGCAACAAGCCCGCGCAGCGCGGAGAGGCAGGGCCACACTTGAACGCTATGACGAGCACTTCGACTTCGAGGCGCCCGCGCGCGCCTGCGCGGGGCCGCCCGCGGGCGCTTGGCCCGTCTTCGCGACTTATGATTTTAACCGGTGGAGGCGACCAGCTTCGGCGGGTCAACAGGCAAGTCTCTGGTTGGGACCCCGTTTACAGCAGATATTGGTCGCCTTTTGAAGCACGAGTCGGCGGCTGTGCAAAGGAAGATGCCGGATTAGGGCCTATTAGCCTAAAGGTATGGTGCAGAACTGGAAGCTACAGTAGGCCCTCAATCTGCTGGTATCACCCGCAGGAAACAGTTGCGGGTCCTTCTAAGAAGGGCCCCGTGTTGGTAAGCGAGAGCAAGGATCCATCTCCTTCGACGTTGTTATGGTGAATGCGAGAGCGCGCGGTTGCTGACGTCCTTGAGGGCGACTGGCGGCAAAAGATAACAGAAACTTGAAGCGGTAGCCGAAGGCGGTGTTAATATGCACATGGGGCGAAAATGAAAGAGCTAGGGAACCGCTTAGCGCCCTAATAAGCTAGGCCGGAAGTCTACGTTTGGCACGCGGGTTCAAGAAAGCCGAGGAAAGATTGAGTAAACAAAGATCAGGTAAGCGCAAGAAGCAAGCCAGATGATGCCTATCTTCGGCCTTAGTGCCGGCTCGCGTTTCAGTTGGACTCTACTTGCATGGGACAACCCGGGTTCGATAAGCCATTTTGTAGATTGTGATATTCCAGGGTGTGGATGAAATCCCAGCCTCCGAGAAGCAAACAACCTAGTGCTTCGGCAGAAGCCTCCGAGCAGAATCAAAGGCTGCATGCAGGTCGAAAGTTAGAGGCAAGCTGGAGAAGACGTTTACAACCTAATTTGTGGTTCTGTATAAATTGAATATTGTCCGGCGACGTCGACCACTGATCGTCCTGGTCACAATTCATCGTTGATCACGAAAGCTATTGATCAGTAGGGCTGACCGTTCCTAAAGTGGCCGGTTCTTCGCGCTTCGTCCAGGCATGCTCAGGTTCAACATTTGTCTAGGAGGCTTCCCAAAATAGCCCTCAAAGCTGCGGCCAGTTCTACTCTAGCTGTCAAGCTATTCTCTTGGCCAGGCTAGCTCTTCCTTCGTCATGACTTTGCACCATCATGTCATGAAACTACCCTAGGTGAGTATTATCGCTGCCAAATGATTGGCTGACTGATTTGTCACGTCCTTTCCTGCGGTGCAGAAGATTGACAATCGTCTCAAGCTCGCGCGTCGGCTTGAGCAGAGCAAGAAAAGCGAACAACTCCTTTGACTCGCTTCTCAAAATGATTCAGAGCCTTCTCAATCCTCAGATCGCATCTCTTTCCTCACAAGTCTCTTCCAGACAAGCCTTCACAAGAATACACGTGGACACGCAACAATCACGTTGCAAGGCTGTCACAAAAAGGACACAGCATTCCAGTTTGTTTATTGCAGGTTTACATATGGTCTATCAGCTCCCATCAAACTCCTCAGCGTGATCGGAGGTTTGAACGAGAGACGATTTGCCCGAAAGTTCTCTGGGACTATCAGGAGGTTTTGACGAGAGAATGGAGGATTGGCACCTTGAAATTGACCTGCAATGATCCAGCACAAATTGAAGGTCTTCTGGTTTGCTTCAACTTAAGTGACACGGTCAGTATCTCATTCTTAAGATTAATTTTTTGATCACAACTTGTTTGAAAAGATCCTATCAATTCATCAGTGAGATCATACTTTTGCATGATAAGGACATGTCTGATGAGAAGCCTTTAAGCAGAACACGGTTGGGTTTAAAGCGTGTTTAAATGCACTGAACTTTTAGACAATTGCATTGACTTTGATAGAGCTAAGGTGACGAGTGAGTCTGGAACATTCCGGTGCCCTTTAACTTTTGATTGATGATAAGGAGCCTGCTTTTCCTTAGAGGTCCTTTGACAGGCTTCGCTTTGGAATGAGTCCATACTGGCCAAAATTAGAATGTTAAAACTAGGTTGAATCGTCAAGGCAAGCAACATAAAATACACCTATACATGTCACTCTTCAATCTTAACAAAATCAGGTCAAGAGAAACATACACGATAGTAGACTGTATAATCTCCAGCTTTACATGCGTTCTCTCTTTGAGCTTTCCAAATGCTAGCAGAGCTTTCATTCTTGGTGATTTTTATTGATTCTTGACTCAGGAAGAATTGATCAGATCAAAGACATACTGCACCTCTTTGTTTTATCAGGCAGATCAGATCATAGATTGACTTTCAAAAGGCCCCCAGCATCCATCTACGAATGCAGTGAGAAAGCAAAGGAGATGAGACCTGTTCTGATGTTTCGCATTGTCAGACCTTCCGACAGATTGTGCACCGAAAGCTACTGAAGTGCCTCATAGAGGAACGTTCAAACCCTGTTGTACAGGGCTACCGGGACGATGTAATAGTCAATAGAACGCAAGCGAGGTCGAGTCATGATTAATCAGTCAATTTCTGCACGTGCAGGGGCACCGCGCGCAAGCATGGAGCACGTCTTTGGGACCAAAGTCGCCAAGGAGTCAGGGTCTACAGAGGGCTCGCTGGCAAATGGGGCTGAACTCGTGAGGCGGCTCATCGAACCAACGGTCATTCTCCCTCAGAGTAAGGCTCAAGGTGGAGAAGCGCCGTTAGATGAGGAACATGGCCCGGCAGACCACCCTGTCGAAGAGGAAACGGTGCGCGCTCCCCGCTCCACTTCCTTTCGTGTCGCAATCGAAGAGCCGAAAGTTATGTTGGCTGAGCGCTGGCTGATAAACATAAGAGCTCAGGCCAACGCCATCGCGAGTGAGTCGACTGCCGAGGCGCAAGGGTGCATGAACAGCGGAGGAGCGATGGACTTCATCAAGCTGCAGAGCGTCCTTGAGAAGCTCAGGCGCGGGTATGATAAGCTCATGACTCCCCCGAGCTCCGTTCACCAGCAGTTCGTCGAGCTCCGCAACCGCCTCGCTGCCGAGAAAGCGCCCGCGGCCTTTGACAGCTCCGACCAAGCGAAGGTCTGCGGATGGACGACGGAGAGCCGGCACGCAGAAGCTGGCAGCAAATTTCTTGTGGCGCGTGCGGTAACGAGAAGCCTCGTTCCGGCTCTGAAAACCAACAGGGTCTCGGTCATGCCCCTCTGTGCCCTGCCTCAGCGAGGCGTGGTTCCTGAAGTCTCGGGAAACCCTGCCGTGATCATGAAAGTTGCTGAGGAGGACTGCAAGGGGGACCGCTGCATCTGCAGATACGTCCCCGCTTACTGGCCATTCCTGCTGCGCTGCTGCCTCCGGATCGTGACTCACAAGTATGTGAACACGAACGTGCCTCTGGCAGAGCAGGTGAGCACTCAGTCCGCACGCTCTCATCTTTCTTCACCAGAACTTTAGGTCTTTTGACTTCTTTCGTCTAGTCGCTTGCAGACGACCAAAGTTCGTTTTGTATGAACCGCATTGACCCCGGTCTAACAACGATTACCCCGTATCTGCACAAAAACGAGCTTACTTGCAAGGATGGCTTCAATTCAAACTCGACGCTGTTTACATCAGCTGGTTCTCCTCTGCTTTTGCGGGAGAAAGATCACAGGACTCGGGAGTTTCGGAACAGATTGGCAGAAAGCTTGCATTCATGACTTGCCTGAGATGTCATTATATAAATTCTGACGGGATTTGTTCGACCTTGCAGCTGTCACACATTGCGGCTGGTTCTTCGAGCCTGACGTTTGGACTGATGCAAGTCCGGAAGACCCGCATTGCTGCCCAGTCTGTTTGGGCACTCCGGTTCATCTTCGGCCAGCTGCCCGTCTACTACACGATGGCCAGGAACATCATTCAGAGCCGGTACAATATCTGGACGGCGCTCGAGGACGTCAACAAAGACGTCAGAGCGCTCTTGACCGCACCTGGCCTGGGTCTCACCTTGACTCCCGCATCGACCTCGATATTTGAGGCAATACCCGTCAGGAATCTGCACGTGATACCGATGGTAAGTGAAACCTTAGGATCTCGATCAGCGTTCTTTCAGACTGTTTGAGCTAGGGAATCGATGCGCTGTTACATGCTTCTGACGATACTCGCTTGTCGATGCAATCTTGCCATCTCTTTCTTTATAAGGCTTTCTGAGAGATCTGAGAAAGGGAAGCTTTTTTGCCTGTCCAATTTGGAGTAGCCCTCAGACAGCCTTCAGACAGCCACATAAGAGAGAGGAAGCATGTCGAGTCCTCCCTGGAGAGATATAAGGCAAGGCCCCTGTACATTTTATTCTGCTTGCTGTGTCTTCGAATCTATCAATATGGCGAGAACGTGCAAACTTATCAGCCCCAATTATCGTTCAAAACTACCAATTGGACTCGTACACGATTCTTTTGCAGCTCCGCGACCTTCCAGAGGACCGCGAGTACGACCCGCTGTGCCTGCAGCAAGTCGTCGTGCGAAGCGCCCGGGCTGACATGGTCGCAAAAACCGTCGACTTCGAGGGGGGCTTGGTTGAGGCCATGATGGCCCCCCTGCTGGAGAGCCGCCAGCTGATGCGCGCAACCAGCCAGGAAACGGGGAAGCTTCTGTACCCCATCTCCGTCACGTTCGACGAGTGGGACCTCTGCCGGCAGTCGTTCTGCCTGCAGAAAGGCGGCCGCGTGATGATCGGGGCGCTCGACCGGGGCGTCTTCCGCGGGACCCGGGACGGCGCGCGGCCCCTGGTGGAGAGCGTGGCGGCGGTCGCCGGGATCACCGCGACTCCGTTCGCCCTGCTCGGGCTCCAGGTGATATTTTGAGCCGCAACCTCAAAGAATCTTCGTCCGGAACGGATCGTTCAAGCTTGAATGGTCCCAACATGCTTAGCCTTCTCCAATTTCTATCGGTTCGAATTCTTCCAACGCTCCGTACCGTAAGAATGCCTTCAGGCTTTGACCACTTAGCTGCATTTAGTTTGTACTCTTTTCTGACGGAGGGTCAGAAAGCCCCTTGGGGCATCGTTGAGTACATTAATCTCGGTATGCTGACGACTGTCATGTGGTTCCTCACCTGGACTGGTTAAAAGCCTTCATAGATCTAGAGATTGAGCAAGAGCCGCGGCATGGTAGCAGCAAAAAATCCTCGCTTAAGAATAGCTCCCCAAAATGTGGCGCTACGTCCTCCTTTCAGTCAAGGGAGAGTTTCAGTAGCACTTTCTTGACCCCTGCCTGCGTCACGGAATCGGATCGGAGCTCATTCATGCGCAGTCCATTGCAGACAGCCCTCGAACGCCCTCTCCGAGTGGTCCTCCTGGCCCCCGAGACCGGCACGTACTACGGCCTCCCCTACCTGGCGGATCCCGCCACGGTCCAGTACCACGAAGTCGAACTCGTCGTGGACGCCAGATTTGCCGTCACCGAAAACACGAAACCGAAATTTCAGCTGGAGAAACACCCTGCGGTAAAGCGCATGATCGCAGACATGGTGACGGACTACAGGGCGATCCAGGCGGCGCAGGAGCAGCCGCCTAACTCCCACGTGCACGGTTTGGTGGTGAATAGCGTGCGCCACGGCGATCATATGCAGGTGCGCTTATTTCCGTTGGATCGTCTCGCTGAAATGAGATCTAACCTCTGTGGGGCTCGGCGATCAGCGTTCGTATCGATTCGTATCCAGATCACTGGAAGATACTCACTGACAATCTGGTAGATGTTTCAAAAGTACGTAATATGTGAGTGTATACAGGATCCGCTTTCATTCTCTGGTCACCTTTGTTTCAAAGAGTCAGCACTGTGTGACTGTTACATTAGTTGGTCGAAAAAGAAAATTCTACATTCAAGCGTCTTGCTGTAAAGTCCTACTATTCGCGCGCGTGTGTGTGCGCCGGATACGGGGTTCTGGAAGTGTAGTCCTTCATTCAGTAGGCCACACAAAAGCTACTTCTGCTTTCGGAAAAAGGACATTTTAAGTCTGTTTGCCTTGGAAAATTGACGTATCTTCTCATGCTTGCGCCTGGAACGTGGGCCGAAGCTTTGATGCAGCCCTCCTTACCCTCTCCAGGTGGCTTACGAGTGTCTCGACCACTTCGAGCGCGAGGGAGTCCCCGCGATTGCCCTGATCGACAACAACGGGAAGCGAGAAGCGGGCAAGACGGCCATGACGTACGTCTTTCCGGAAACTCTGGTAAAGGCCGGCATCCCCAGCCTCTTCGTGCTACCCGGGCTAAACGAACAGGGGCAACTAGACCTGACCTCGCAGGAGACGGTCTGGACGGACGCTCTGTTCCGCACGTTGCCCGAACAGCTTCAGCGCTGGCTTCTCACGAACAATGGCGCCATCAGAGGGAAGCAGCTAGAGCACCTCGCCATCCACCCGAACGAGCTACTTTTTCCGGTGAGTCGACAGCTTGCAGGTCGAAACAATGAAGAGCTCATTGCGGAGGTTTTGGGGAGGAATTTCAAAGCTCTCATCGGTGGCCCGATTCAGCAGCCTTCGAAATCATCAAGCGGGAGGGTACATCTAGAACTATGAGATATCGATGCTCTTGCTTAAGTCAATTTTGGCGAAGTCCGCAGAGCTGACACAGATTCTCCCCGTGATTAAGACAGTGCAAGAGTTCTCTACAAAGCTACTGTCGCCTATGCAGGGTCATCTTCAAGCTGATCTCCGCTGCTACGCTCTGCAACTGGAGTGGGAACTTATGTGGAGCCCGACTCTCTGGAAGAGAGGTGTCAAAGGTCTGATTATGATGTAAGTGCTCACAAGATCTCCAAGGCCTTTTCAGAGCTGTGTCGAAGCTACTTCACCAGATGGATTGTTTCTTTAAAGGCGGTTCCTTCTGAATAATGAATTTCTTCAAGCTCTGACAATCTTTCTATGACCCTTATAATTCTCAATACCGTAACCCAGTTCCGCATTTGTAGGTCTCCTTATGTATGTCTGGAGCCGCCGCACCCAATCTTTATATTCTTCCTTTTCGATTCATCATGTCTGTTCCAGGAATCCTTACAACCTGGTTTCTGCTCCGCAGGACCGTTGCTGGCACGAAAGCAAACCGCGCAAACGCCTACAAGACGATCTACCACTGCGCTCACCTGACGCACGCGTACTTCTACATCAGCATGAAGCACGAGGCTTCCAACGCGGAGATGCTGCTGCAGAGGCTGGGGCGCATCTGCACGACCCAGTACGGGCCCGGGATCAAGCGCCTGCCGAAGCTGTACCTGCCCGAGTCGGTACATGTCCTTCTCCAGGCGTGTCAAACGCTTTACAAGTAAGATACATTCGTACTACGAAGAGTGCTCCTAGGCATTGCTGAGAGTCCAGGTTTCCACTTTTTTCTTTTCTTTTTCTTGGTGATATTCATGTCTTCAGAATGATAAATGGACTGTGTATTCCAACCGGGAAAGTGTCCAAGGCACTCGTGGTCTCCAAGGCGTCCGAGCTTGTCAAGGATGATGTAGGATTTGAATCCCATAGCGACTGCAAAGGAGGATCACGCTGTCATGCTAGCTGCTTAATCTCTGAACCGTCTGAGCTGGGGAGCTCAGAAAGCAGGATCTGTTGTAGCAGGTCGGCAGTTTCCTATCGTGTTCAATCCTGGAAGACTGAGTTATACTTCCAAAATTCCGTTTCTCGGGCCTGTCAACAGCACGCGCAAACGCGACACTTGCCCGATCTTGAGCAGTAAATATCCGTTTTCGAGGCGAAAATGCTCGAGAGAGCTAACGCTTGTCGTACAGGAGGGCGTGCGCGGCGCGCGGCAGCGCATGCGACTCGAACAGCTGGCTCTTTCTGTTCTGCTAAGTTTCCGTTTCTTACAAGCGGTTATGGCAGCTTATCGCGGCCGCTTATGGGCGCCGGTGGATCATTTCAAGCGCAAGCCCATTGCCGCAGACTCGATTCGGGGTTCATTTTCTCTAAGATTTAATCTGGAATCTCGTCTAAAGCAATAAAGCTAGTGCTTTGTGGCCGCGCGCTCCGTGCCGGCTGAGAACCAACGGTTTGAAGTTCAAAAACTAATAAGATCTTTCACAGGCGGGTTTGGCAGCGCATCGCGGCCGCGCGCGGCGCGCCGGTGGACCAGGACATCATCCACAACGAGCAGTTCAAGCACGAGCTCGCCGCGCTGGTGATGAAGCACAGCCAGAAGCTGAAGGTCTCCCGGCGGGACATCAACGAGGGCGTGTTCGCCGGCCACACGGCCGTCTGCAAGGACGGGATCCTCGTCCGTCAGTTCCGATCGGAGATGGTCGGCAAGTGAGCTTGCGAAATTCTCTTGAATTGGTGATCAATTTCCATTTTGAGCCGGCTACGTAATCATTGCTCCGGCTGTTGTATCGCCACGTTTCCGCAATCCAATGTCTGAGGGCCATTTTTGGATTAGAGTCAGGCCCAAGACTAGTACTCATGTGAGCTTAAAGCAGCATTCATGGGGCATTCCAAATGTGACCAAGGATACCAGATTGTCGGTCATTCTTGCGCCCTTCAAGAATGGCTGCGCTTTCTCTCAAAAGTACAAGCGAGGTGCGGAGCTCAGTCGAATGAATTCGAGTTTTGAGAGGTCCCACGCAGTGCTCCACGGTATTTCAGACCTTACAAGGCTGCCGGACTACTGCGTGTTTGCAGACATCAGCAGACGCACACGTGTGCTAAGCTTACTGCCCAAGCTAACAAAATTCCTCCTGAATTCTTGTGCCAGGCTTGGGGGGTTCAGCGCGGTCGACCGAGATTTTCCACTGGGCGAGGTGGACTTGCTGGACCCCGAGGCGGTCGAAACGGCGCGGAGGGAGCTCCTCGCGAGCATCGCCAAAGAGTACGTGCCCAAGGGCCAGAGCCTCGAGGACGTGATGAAGCTCATCAGGGTGGCGAATCGGGTCGTCTTCCTTCCCGTCAAAGTGCTATTCGCCAACACGCGGAACCCACTCAACCTCGACGAGTTTGAGAGGTGAGCTGCCGGTTCAGGGCAGAAACCTCGTTTTGCGCCTACTTCGGTAACCTTCGCCGCACAATTAATCCCTCTGTAAGGGGGAACATTTTCCTGACTCGCTCAGGTTGACTGTATACCAGTTAGCAGCCTGGACGTACCACAAAAACGTGACTGCTCAAATCTGCTTTCAATCCGGTTTTTGGACTCCTCAAAACGGCGAGAGTGACAGTCGTTCCTTGAAGCTTGAAAATTCCTTTAAACCTTCCTTACCCCGCCTTCAAAGTGCATAAAAAGTCATCCTCTGACGGAAGTAGTGAGTCACTTATAATGGCTGCGCAGGGGCGGGTGTTTCGACCAACTCGTAGATGCTTTCGATAAAGAGATTGCAAAGCTAAAATTGACATACAATGGGCATCAAGCCCTTCTGAACCTTACGACTTCATCTGCTGTTTTGTCCGTTCATGTCGCTCTGCCCAGGCCCGTATAACCATTTTCGATTTTGGAATCAGGACCGTTCAGCTTCCATGGCGCTCTACTCCGGATCTTCCCGGGATCGTTCAGTCGTCTCTGCGATGACGTTAAGCTTCATCTTGCGCTGACATCATCGCTGTGAGGCAAGACCGCATCAACTTGAACCCTTTGTCGCCCCTCTTCCCAGCGACCACGGGAGGTGGTCCTATATTTTTACAACCGTTCAAACCAGTCTGCAACGAAGCAAAGGTTTTGCTTGCGCCAGTAATACATTCAGTCCGCACTGACCTTTTAACCTTTTGTTTCTTAGCTACATGCTCGACCACGAGAACCGCATAGCGCCGTCGAAGAAGGGCCAGCCGAAGGACAAATACGTGGACGAGATCCGCAGCGCGATCACCGAGAGCCTGCGGAAGCGCGCCCTGACGCCGGAAGAGCGCTCGTACCTCGGCCGGAAGGAGCTCGTGCAACTAGGGGCGGGCCCAAAGCTTCTGATCGAAGCGAACCTCTGCCCGTTCGTCGGGGAGGTCCACAGCCAGAGGGGCCACGTGAGGGTCGTGGCGAGGATTTTGGACGGCAAGACGGTGATGGCGATTGTTCCCAACCCGGAGTATCCGCACTGCTCGGGTCGCAAGCCGGCGAGCGAGTTGCAGGAACTGATCTACGGGGACCTGATCACGGCGCGGTTTATCCTGCGGCTGCCGGCCGAGATGGAGAAGGGGCCGGCGGCCGCAAGGGACTATGCAGGCCCGATGGTGCGTGCTAGCTCATTAAGCTCCTCTCCCGGAAATGTTCAAAGGGTCTGACGCCGAGTCTCTTTCATCCGGGGCCTTCGAAACTATGTCGTTTTCTATAATGTTTCAATCTAGAGTTCACAAGATTCCAGCAGCGGATTCAACCTGAAGTTCAGCAGCTCCGCATTATTCCCTAAGATCTTCCCACTTGCACTGGATTCAAGAGGTATCTCTTTCTGGATGTCTTGCCGACTCAGTGGGTTCCGTCCAAAGTCAATTTTTCATAGAATAACTCACGTTTCTCTGATTGCATGCAGCGTCTGGTTATGCGCCTCCAAAGGGGGTTCCGCCAGGGTCAGCAGACGGACGAGCAGATCGAGGTGCATGATAGAGCCGTGCTATTCTTTAGCGGCAGATCTTGAAGTTGCTTGCCGCGATACTGGTTGATTCGCGCGTTGCAGACCGTCGCATGATCGGCTTGTGTAACTTCTCCTGATCGCTTCCTAAAAACGTTTGTCAAGGTGCGTTAGCTGGTGATGCTCTTGGAAGCTCCTGAGAAGTACTCGCCAGCGTTTGCGTGATACTATCTGCGTCTGGTCAGTGCGTTTCCTTCGTATTTTCGTTGGCTTGCTCGACAGGCTCTAAAGGAAGAAGCAGATTCCCACGACCGTTTGCGCCATGTCTTTGACCAAATTTCTCATGGTGCAGTACAGTAAACAGAAGACAAACGAAGGGAGAGACCCCCTTGAGAGAGTGACAGACGCGCTAATACTCTACTGAACTTACGGAGCAAGCCGTTTTAAACCTTTTGCAGCTCAAGATTGACAAGGAAGGTCAGCCGAAGAGGAATGCCCCGCCACCTAGGTCTGAGGAAGGCCCGTCGGAAAAGCGAGAGGTGTCTCCAGCAATGGACGGGCAAAGAGCGGCAGCAGCAGACGAGCGCGTCACGGCGACCAAGGCGAACAAAGCCAATGGCTCGGCTGAGCCTTCCAAGTCACCTGGCCGTCGCCCAGCAACAAATTTCCCAATGGATTCGGAGACGGAATCGGACAAGGGCGACGAGGTGAGACCGTCTGATTGCAGCTCTAGCGTCGGGTTGAAATGTCATACGTTGCTTGCCACTGGGGAGCAGTCGGATCATTGCTTCAATTGCAGAAGGGCGTTTTTCTTCACCGCAGCTGTTGTGCAAGCTGCTTGGGAAAGGAAGCGGTCCTCGAATAGCTTTCCTAGACTGAATCCGCCTAAATTCCCTGACAAATACGCCTCTCGTTGTCAGCCCTGCAAGCGAAATTCTGAGCTAGCTCTTCACCCAAGAAGAGCTGCGGTCTCAAGAAGGGTTGTTTGCCAGATTAGGGAGGTTCATCCAGTATGCAAGTTCCATTTTTGTTCCGCTAGAAGGAGTAAGCCCGGAAGCTAGTGCCGTTGGAAGGAGTGATCATCGAAGCTACTTTTAAGCCGTTACAAACCTTTGCAAACGTCCTCGATCGTTCCCCACAGATGCCGCCAAAGCCGACTGAAGCGGGCCCTTCGACTCAGCGAACCTCAGCCGGCCCTTCGTACAATCTGGGAGTCTGCCGTCCCGGAAAGCGGGCAGTGCGCTCCTCCCCTGATGCAAACCCCGACTCTGATGCGGGGAAAGCCAAGATGCGAAAAGTCGCCCCGTCCGACGGCGAGAGCGACGAGTGCTGGATGGATATAGTCGAAGAGGCCATCGACCTGACATACAAGCAGTGAGTGGCCAAAAGGAAAGAGCCTTGCAAGATAAATTGCTCGTCGCGCGAGATTTTGTTGAACATCCAGCCAACTTTTCTGCTCAGTTTGAACTTCCAATGCAGTCCGGAAGGGGAAGCCGTTCTCCCATCCGCTTTCTTGTACACCCATTTAGACAAACCGCTCAGAGGCTCAGGCAAGAGGAAGGGGCGTCAAAAACGGAAGGGGCGGTGCGGACGTGCAATTGTCAGTACAGAATCCGACTCCGTTCGAAGATTGCTTTTCTTGGCCCGGTCTCTCCTTTACCGGTTGAATCTTCCATGACACGCATGGCTGGAAACACAAGCCGTCAATTCTGTGCAGGGGGAAACGAATGAAGGAGCTCATCAGCCAGGCCGAGGCAGCGGTCACGCGGACTGTCAGGGACCCCAGCGCGCGACTCGAACTTTTGACGGGTCTGGTCGTGGCAAGGGAGAAGATCAAGGTACGGATTCAGACCTTGGTTCTGGCCACAGGACATAAGCTGGCACAGCTGGCAAGAATCTCAAGCCTGTCGATATCATGGAGAAAGACAGCATGGGATACAAAACATGCTCTGTGCTTCAGCTTCTTGGATCTTCGGATCTGGACCGTAGATCTGTGGGTCTGGGGTCGACATCCTTCGTCTGTAAATGGTGACAGCCTTTCACAGGAGCACAAAGACGCTGCAGCAGACCATGCAGCATGCACAGGTATTTAAGCTACGAGGGTCAGTTCACGAACAAGCCCTTAATAGTCTAGGTCGGGAAAGCTCGGTTGGTCCTGATTTCGTCGAACGTTTTTGCAGAGGAACGACACTGCGGGCGCTTGTAAAGCGGCCTTGAAGGACATTCAGGAGAAGTACCAAACCTCGGAACAGGAAGAGTCGTCATCATCGTTCAAAACGTCGGCTTCGACTTCGAGCGAGCAGAACAAAAAAGCAGGGTCCGCATCGGAGTGACCGCGCAAAGGAAACGTGAGCTGCGACGTCGTTGGGCAGTCGTTCGTGAGATTTGAGTGTACGGAGTGTGCTAAGATTAGCGTGTGTTTTGGTGAACGTTGACGGAATGGGTGGGCAGGAAACTGGCATGGCGGAAGGGACTTGTCAACTTCCTATTGTGCTTTGGACCGGTCCATCAGACCTGTCAGCTCGTGTGACAGCTGGAGGTCACTTGGTCAAGCAGACACCAAAAAATAGAAAACATTCGAACCAGGTCTGTATTGAATGTACAGTTGGCAAGTAGATTCGTATCGTAGAAGCTGGGTGCGTTAGGGGTGCGTTCATTTTCACGTGGGCTGACACTAAAGAGGAACGGCTTGTGAGAGGCTACGTTATATACTCTCGGGAAGAGGAACTTGCAGGTGGCCTCTTCGACATGTTGGATGGCTGCGCCGTCTGCTGATAGCTCCAGGCTTCTGTGAGACAGCAGTGTCGTATCTGGCATTTGTTTGCATCCCTTCCTCGCTCAACGTCAAGGCCACCTCGTACATGTTCAAGTCTCGCTTCAAGTTTTGCGACCCGGCCTGGGAAGCGACCGCTTGATCAGCAGCTTGATGTATTCCTTTAGATGCTGCTCTAGCTAGTCGTGCTGGCTGTATCAATATCAAAAGCCTGGTCAGCTTAGCACTAGCTGACCAGCCCGTCAGCTGAGCATTGATCAGTTGCCTCTTCTGTACTTGGGTGAAGCCAAACAATGGACTGGTCATGTCAACGAGCTGCTTTTCATGGCTGCATATGTAATGACCTAGGCGGTGGCGTGCGCAGCGCCTGCCAGCAAATGGTGCCTGATATAATCTCTGTTGTACTCAGATTGCGGGAGGCCATGAGCCCGGCCAACAAACTACTTTTGTGATTATATTCATTTAGTGTTGTGACGTCGGGCGGCTGCCTCCAACAGTGGTCATTTCACATGCCCTTCACATGTTTTGCTCAAGCCGCGAGTTCGGCTCATCAGGTGCTCAGACCCTACTTGTCAGCTCTAACATGTACTAGCTTTCACCAGAGCCTCTAGCTGGTCGGCATTGCAAAGGTTTACTGGAAAATAACTCCACATGACAACATGAGGCAGTCGCGATCATTGGTCAAGCCCACATTTAATAATATTTGCCCCTCAGTCCATGCTGGCGGACTACCAAATGAACCGAGTGTTGTTAGTATTCATGATTGTCCATCTGCTTGCTGACTCATATTGCAGAGGGACTCCAGACGCCAATGCCGTTGTGGTCAGCTCTCAGGTCAGCTCCCTGCCTCCTCCCTGCAAACCGAGGTGGCTGAGTTTATATCGATCGATGTCTTTAAACTTGACCCAACAACGCTTTCTCTCCGAGGTTGCCCTGTTGCTTGAAACGGTCCACTTTGTGTACCTGCACTCAAAGCGACACACTTTCAACAAAGCTCGCCGAGAAGCCGGCGGGGCCGTTACGGTTAAAGCGTTCGGCCATCTGACGCAAAGGCGAACCGGCATTTCCGACGGAACGCGGAAACCTTCAGCGCGCTCTATCGTCCGTCCATAGTTTTTATCGTACGGTCGAAGCTCGTCATATTGTAAAATTGACGTCTAGGTTGACGAATAGGTTGCTTGAAACCGTCACCGGGGTATGAATGCACCCAGCGCGTCAAATCACCGCTTGCCAGCAAGGCAATCAACAGATTTGGGGGAGTTCCCGCTGGTGAATCAAACCCAGGCTGTCAGAATCCACTGCGGTACACCTAGGTATCCTTTCCATGGCGACACGGGAGTCCTCTAGCTTCGTTAAGACCACATCCATGATGAGAAGCGACGCCTGCGTACGTACCTTCAGCAGCTAGGGAAGGTAGCACTCAGAGTCAGTCTGTTGGTATGATGTTAGGTGTGCCGCACAGTGCTGTGCATGGCTGTTCTGACAGTGATGTTTGCCGAGAGCCGAGACGCCGCCCTACAATGGCCGCGATGTCCTCATGGCAGGAATCTTGGTAAAATTGTTCGCTCCTTCTGAGACACGTGGACAGCAGTCTGTGACAACAGAAAACACGCTCACGTCCGCCACAGAAGCAGAGGTTTGATCATGTCTGCAATGTGCCTTTCCCAAAACTCAAAGCTTGCTTGTCTTCTGTTGTGCTCTGTAAGAACCAGATGCACGATCTGCGCGAGCGTCTTTGAGATCAAAGGCCGCTTTAGGAAAGGGGAAGGTTGATCTCACCATTCTGCGGCGACTTTGATCCGCTGCAGCTCCTCAGAAGCATCCTAGATTGATGTACATGGTGATGCGACATGGCTGACCAAAACCCTGATGAGGTAAGTGCGACCGGTGTCTCCTCATGTTTGCGTTGTGCATGACCACTATGATCTTTGTGTGGTATCTGAAATTTGATAGGTAAAAGGTTATACAATTGCACATGCTGCTCGTGTATGTCGACACTGCCATCAGATCAAATGCTGCAGCCCCAATTACCGAGTAGCTGAGCTAAGCTTTGTCTCTGCAATCAAAGGGGTCCGATACACTGAATGAGCTTTTCCTCTGCTTTCTGTCTGTCTCAAAGGCCACCGCATTTGTGTGGCCTGCACAATGCTATGCTCAGAAAGCGACGCCCTTGCACCATTCCCAGCCTTTTGCTGAGCTTTTTTGTTGGGTTGAGAGGGCGTGATGTCAGTCCCTGATGATCCTTCAAGAGGTAGATGTGCCCTCTTTGATAATGTAAGTCGACTAGCTGTGATCTGAAATCTTGAAGAGATCTTCTTGGCTGCACACCTACCAACCGCGTTTCGTCAGACCGTGACGTCATTATGGACTGAAGCTCATCCACGCGTCTGGTAGAGTGAGTTCAGGACTGTCAAAAAGCAGGCACTGGCTGCATTTCAAACAATCAGAGAGAGCAGAAAAACTCCATCGCCAGCATTCGCATGTGAAAAAGTGTCCACATCCTTGTTCTGAGAAGACACTTACTAGCTAATGAGCTGAGTGGCTTCTAAACCGCGCTCCATAGCCTAAAGGCAGCCACATTGACAGTTTGGCATTGAAGCGGCAGCTCTGATTGGATTGAAGTCCTGAGGATCAACTCTGTTGAGAAGCTTGCAAAGTTTGGAAACAGTTTCCTGATGGCAGCCTTTCACCGGAGTGCTCTCTTTTTGATAATCTATGCATGCACTTCTTGCTGCTTACAGGCTCTGTGATTCTCATCTAAAATAGTTTGCCGGTAAACCAGAGCCGCTCAATCATGACAGGGTTTTTTGAGCTCCTAATAAAGATGCATTGAGGTGGAATGGCACCGATCAGGGGGGCTCCGTTGTGGTCCTGCTTCTCTGTCCCCTTAGGTACAGATGGATCTATTGCAACCCACATCCCCAACTTTCATCGCTCACAAGAGAATGAGCTCTAACCTTACTTCTTTTCCAAGCTGAGCTTGCTCAGCACAAGGTCAGGGTCTTTTGAACGGAGTACGGTTTGAACAAGGTCAATGTAACCAAACCAGTTCCATCCTGTTTTCCCAGGCGTTGAACGGGCTGAGCAGCCACGAGGTCGAATCCCTCCGAGCCCAGCATGGTTTCAACGAGGTTAAGACAAACCAGACCCCGGAGTGGAAGAAGATCCTGTGGCGCTACCTGGACTGGGTGTCGATCATCATTCTGATTGCGGCTATCATCAGTGCGACTGTGGAAGTTCAAGGGGGCAGAGGATGGACCAGCTTTGCGCTTCTCATCGTGGAGCTCAACCTGATCGTGTGGGTGGGGTATTACTCGGAGAGGAATGCAGGAAATGCAGTCAAGGAACTAGAGGTGAGAAATTAATACACACGAGAAAATACAGAAAAGGTATCAGAGACAACAGGGAATGCATACTTGGTGAAGGAGAAGGGTTCAGAAGGGAATGCAGGGAACCTAGATTTCAAATATTAGAGAGAGGGATCGCATCATCTCAAAAAGAAGCGTTTGCTTGTTGTGACCAGGTCAGATTTGCCGGTCAGCGCACATACATCGACTTTTTTTCCTGTCCTTCGATCTATTTCTGCAGCGCATTGACTTTTCTTGTAGGGTGTCATGAGTCTTGCATGCGCACCTTCCTCAGCCTAGCTCATCTTTGATTCAGAGAGTCACAGCATTCATAGCCAGTCAGGCCTCCTTTTGCCTGCTTCTGGGGCCACAACACACCTTTCCTGCTCCATCGCTAACCTAGATTTCACGACCTTTGGTATGCAAGCTTTTAGAGATGCATGTAGTGCATGAAGCACGCTGAATCGCTTTGCTCAAGGATGACTCTCATTTTCCCCAAGATGTTGTGAGTCCATTTTCTCAAGGTGGCTCTCACCCTCCTTGAATCTTTCTGGATCGTTCTCTCAAGGGTGGCTCTCACACACCACCTGAAAAAGTCTTGAGTTGTTGCTCTCCAAGATGCTCCACATTGCCACCATAAGGTTACGACTTCACTGCCCCAAAGATGAATCTCGCAGCCCCCAAAGTTTTCCGAATTCATTCACTCAAAAGGTGGCTGCCACCGCCCCTAAAATGTTGTGCGATAAATTCTTTCAAAGATGGCTCTCACACCCCCCCGGAAATCATTTGCAGGCCCTCACTGTGCCAATGGCCCAAGCGAAGCGAGACGGCAAGTGGCAGCAGGTGCCTGCTCGGGAGCTCCTCCCCGGCGACATCATTGCGCTCAAAGGGGGTGATGTCATTCCTGCTGATGCACAGGTGCGTGCATGATTAGAGACCATTTTCTAAATTCGAAAGCTGGAGAAATTCGTGACAATAGACTCTAGTAGTCATTGGGCCGTCCTTCACAACTTACAGAAAAAACATACCGGTCAGAAACAACCGTGCAATAATCAATCAACCTCTAGGATTCCCAGCGAACGAGGATCATAACGTCTCTGAACCAAACATAGATCGAATGATTTTCGATGACAATCGCTTTTCGGCTTCTTACAACATTCCTTCGTTTCCAAACAATCGCCACATTGCCTGTCACGAAGCTTTCAAGACTGTCAAGACAGTAATTAACCGCAATAATCGCAGACAATCTAACCAACATACCCTGTTCGTTTTCTGCATTTTCCTTCCAATCCCGCACTTCCGTGGACTGCAGTTGGTGGGCGAAGGAGAGCCGTTGCTGGTCGACGAGTCCAGTCTCACTGGGGAGTCCCTCCCAGCCTCACGAAAACCTGGACATCAGGTGAGCGTCACCCGCACATCTGCTCGACTTCGTCTCGGCTCTTCCATGGGAAAGAGGCGCTTCAATCCTGACCGAAGTCTTGCCAGACCAGACCAGTCGCTCAAGATGTGCAATTATGCCTCACATACGCGATGCCTTTGCGTCTGCAATGCTGAACCCATCACTTAGCATTGAAAACAACCAGGTTTGACGATGCAACGGCCCAGAGAGGCTCGAACGAGGATTTGTGCTTCCTCATAGCACAATCTGGGACATCAGTACGGCCTGCGGACTAGGCGTATGAGTCGTGAGGTCCCTGCAGTGACTGTGACCTCGTGCAGACGTGTGCAAATTCTCTTCTCAAGGGCCCTCGCATTGACACGGCTAGCGTCTCTGATCTTTGCACAAGCTCTTTCCCTAGGCTCTTGGGCTCCTGCCGAATGGAAAGGTCGAAAGCTGCAGCTAGTTGAACCGACTTCACAACGTGCAAGCTCTGATGAAACGAAAACAAGCGAGAATCTCAGTTAGCGACCAGGACCGGGATCACCATTGCTCGGTGGCACTTCTCAGGCCTTCCACTTCGATTTTGGACCTTGTAAACTGGCCATATTCACTGGACGTTCTCAGCCGAGTAACTGGGGTCCAAGCACTCCCTGCTCGAGTCGTTTGAGCAATTAACTTTCTCGCTGTGCTCCCAATGAATCTCGGTTTGTTCTCAGCCTCGTGAAGCCTGGTACAAGTTCTCTTGATTCTCCTTCCTTCATATGAAACAGCTCGTGTTTAGTATCGAAAATGTTTCAGAACGATTGTTGTTCAGCTAGGACAACACGTTCAAGCCGTAAAGTTGCTCAGAAACCTCATCAAGAAGTTAGAGTTTATCAAAATAGGATCTGGAAAAGAAAAGTTTGTTGACCTCGCAGATTTTGGCGGGTGCGACTGTGACGCAAGGCGAGCTGGACGCTCGAGTCACCGCTACGGGCGCCGACTCGTTCTTCGGAAAGACGATCGCCCTCTTGGGAGCGCCGGAGGAAAGGGGACATCTGCAAACAGTAAGTAGTTTGGCACTGCAGGAATTCCGCCTTTTAAAGTCGCTTGCTTCTCGAGTGTTCTTCCAGCGCCCAATATTCTCAAGTGATGCAGTCCCGTGGGTCCTATCTCTTGGCGTTATTCTTCTCTCCTTTTGGGCACTCCAGCGTAAAGCAATAAGTTAAGTCTTTCTGTGTGTAGAATCTTTTCTCCTGGGGGGTATTCCAGCGCCGAGCAACTACGTAAAGAGTATGCGGTCGAACGGAGACATAAACCAAAAGTAAACTGCATCTCTCTCGGTGTACGATCTCCTCTATTATGGGGCAATCCGACGCCGAGCATATAAAGTGTAAGCTATCAATTAGGGACACAAGTGAATACTTTGTCTTCTTCGCAGGTCCTGAACCAGGTCTCCATCGCCCTGGCAGTGGTCTCCTTTTTCGCGGTCGTCGCAATTGCTGTCGTCCTCATGGTCGCCCAGGACGCGTCCCCCGGCTATGCTGTCGTCACCGCTTTCGTCATCTTCGTCTCGGTGGTCCCGATCGGCATGCCAGTTGTCACCACAACAGTGCTCGCAGTCGGCGCGCGCGAGATGGCGGGAGAACGCGCTATCGTCACCAGGTGAGCAACTTAACCTCAGGGTTTTGGGATTTGGTTGTTGGGTTTGGGTTTTGAGTTTTCGGATTTGGGTTACAAGACCCCTAAAGAGATCAGCGTGTCGGATGTTTTAAAGTAAGTATTGGGATTATACCGCTCCTTTAGGGGGTTAATGGTGGTCGTGGGGTTAGAGATGGCGGGAGAGCACGCCATCGTCACCAGGTGAGCAACTAAAGGGCTAGGGTTTCTAGCTTTCTTTTCTGCCTGTCAGACTTGTATCGTATTTCAAGAGGTAGAAATCACGGAATTTTTCCACAGCATTGGAGTTTTGGATTCCTTCAGGCTCGAGGGTCTTCAACATTTTATCCTTCCTCCTAATTGTCCTCTGTTTCTGCTCGTTCCCATGCCAAGCCGACACCTGCTGATTGCAACTAAGCATCTGGCCGGTTATCTACTACTGACCCAGTCCACTGATTCATCCACTGCGTGCCTCTGATTTTTTATGGAAACCCCTTGCGAAGTGGCGGCACCACTCCCATTCCGCTCGCGGCAGGCTTTCCGCTCTGAAGGAGCTTTCCGGCATGAAAAAGCTGACCAGCGACAGGACCGGAACGTCGACACTGATCGCGCCCCAATTCCGCTCGTTGCAGGCTTTCCGCTCTGGAAGAACTTTCCGGCATGGAGGTTCTGGCCAGCGACAAGACCGGAACATTGACTCTAAACCGGCTGACGCTCGACAAGGAGGACATCCTGGCGTGGGGGGACAGCTCCAAAGATGACGTCCTGCTGACGGCATCCCTGTCGGCGAAGTGGGACCACAACGACGCCATTGACAAGGCTGTGACTGAAGCGATGGGTGGAGACAAACAGGTGGGACTTTCTTTCATCCAGGATTTCGTGGAGTCTTAAGGCGTTCGCAGCTACTTGAGTGTCGAATTCAAGGATGTTAAGCGGCAGGAGCAATAAGCTAACCTTCTCGCGTGCAGGGTAGGTACAGGTGCGGATTAGGCACTTCTGAGTTTCTGCTTAAGGTTCGGGTGGGAGCTTGTCAAGTCTAGAGCGTATGTTCCTGGGTTCGACCGTCACGTGACTGCCACAGTCATCCAGAATTGCGTTGATTCCTAAGGCGTTCATAGATTCTTTAGTCCTCGAACTGAAAATGAGTGTACGGTGTATTCAATGTTCCTACCAGAAGCACTTCGGGGGTTTCCGGAGCACTTTCTGGTCGGAAGTGATGTCAGCAAAGGATTCTTCTTCAGCGTGGTTTCTGTATCGCCGTCACAACATGACCATTGGGCATGGCTGCAAATCCTCTCTCTCGCCCGAAACCCACTGACTTTTGAAAAATAAACAGGATTGCCGTGATAGAAAGGCAGTGCACTCATCGCGCTTCCTTGGTTAGGCGTAGATCGTCTCCAGCTACAAAGTGACGAAGTTCGTTCCGTTCAATCCGGTCGACAAGAAGACGGTCGCCCACGTCACCCTTCCGGACGGAACCAAGATGGTGACCACCAAAGGCGCCCCACAGGTTAGTCACTAACCTTCTCCTTGACTAAATCAATGAGTTAACCTGACAAGAATCGCGTGTTCGTTGAGACTGCTTTTTAAGCTGACTGTGAGGCGCGCGAGCGGGAAGGCACGGTCGGAGAATTCCGTTACTGAGTTCTTTGACAATGCCTTTCCAGAGTGTTGTGTTCTTGCAACGACTCGACAAGCGTGCTGAGCAAGCGGTAGCACAAGACCGGCCGATGGGCAAGAATTAGGGAACATTTGACATATTTGTGATTGTATCAGTGTGTAAGTCTTGATTGACAATTTCCTGCTTGTCGCACCGATTCAACCACGGTGCTCAGCAAGCAGTAGCGCAAGTGCGGCCGAGGGACAATACCTAGGAAACGTTTGAAGTATCTCACGCCCTTTCATGACGTCATCGCAGATCATCCGCGACCTTTTGAGCGACCCCGCGGCGCGCGAGGCGTGCGACAATTACATCGCCGAGCGGGGGAGCCGCGGACTCCGGTCCCTGGGGGTGGCGAAATCCGCCGACGGCACGGGGGGGTGGACGCTGACTGGGCTTATCAGTCTGCTGGACCCCCCTAGGACGGACTCTGCGGCGACCATCAAGACAGCGCAGGAGATGGGGGTCGAGGTAAGGGGGAAAAGATGTAGTGACTACTGCGATCGCGCTTGCTGTGCGATCTGCCGGATCTTTCAAACGAAGCATATTCTTTAGAGCCGCTTTGCGTTTTCTGCTCAATTTCTGCCGGCAAGTCGAATGTAGTCCCACAAACGTCATCACGGACGCTGCCCTATCCTAGACGTTTGGAGCGGATTTCAAGACAACGTGGTCGTAATCACAGCTGGCCAGAGAGGAGATGTCCAGATCATGACTCCTGATTTGTCAGAAGGAATGAGTCTGCAAACCTCGCTGACTGTGTCAGACGGACGCGATTTCGACTCCGCCAAAGTTGCGTTTTTTTGCGATGGTTTCCGTATGTCACATGCCTCGAATTTGAGTTTTTCTGATCAGTATGAGAGGCACGAAAACGACATGAAGATGTGGCGTGAATGCACTGGCCTGATTCAGAGCCTCCTCTGACTATGAAACGTTTGAAAATGTCGCTGTTCAGGCCGTTCGTTGGTTTGGACCTTCTTCAAAGCGGCCAGAGGATCCGCATGTTTCTCCATTTCCTGATGACAGGGTATAAGGCTAGAGCACATTCTCCTGTGTTGTTGATCCTTCATAGGCAGTGGGTCTTAATCCGCAATTCTAAACTGCGAGGATACAGACTCCCTTACCATGTCAGTTGAGAACGCAGGGAGTCGGCATCATGCAGACGTGGACGTCTGTGCGATCAGACTTCCTTGAATAATCAACACGACGGAGCATCTGTTTAGGGAAGTGGAACCAACCCGAAAGCCGCGTGCGAATCTTGGACAGCGCAGTCGGGTCTCTCATGCTGCCCCCTGGCGACCCTGCTCCTGACGTCGTCATGATGTCATTGCTGTCAGCCGTTTCCCCAACCGCTTTCTCAGGTGAAAATGGTGACCGAAGATCAACTCGCGGTGCCATGACACCAGTCTCGTTTGGCAGTCCTAGTATGACGTCATTGCCTTTCTAACCAAATCAAATTACCGTTCTCTTCCCCAGGTGAAAATGGTGACCCGGGACCAGCTCGCGATTACCATTTGAGACCAGCCGCCGGCTTGGCCTGGGCCCAAACATTATGGCGGTTCTGCTGGTGACGTCGCTATGATGTCATTGCTTACATGTCTAAGCCAGTTCATTATCTTCTTCTCCAGGTGAAAATGGTGACTGGGGATCAGCTCGCAATCGCCATCGAAACCAGCCGCCGGCTTGGCCTGGGCATCAATATCATGGAAGGAAAGGAGCTCATGGGCGAGAATGAGATCGGGCGGAGCCTTGTTGAGCGGGTAAGAGGCGCAGTCAGCTTTCCGGGTTCCGTTCGACACACCCGCTGTATGATCAGTCTACAGAGTCTAAGAAGCCGATCTCAATCTCGCGACGCCTGGTTCAAAGGGGCACGCTTGCGAAAGAAGCGCGGCTGCGTTGACCAAGCTGGAAGCCCAACCCAGAAGCCTCCTGATCTGAAGGATTTGATCCCGAAAACTTGAAACAAGGATGCTTGTTCCTTGAAACCCTTGGGTACATACTGTTGATGGTCTGGGGTACCTCACAAGGACCGTTGTGTGGGGGAGCTGTGACCAACGTTCCGTCTTAGTGTGCATGGCCTGCGAAGCTCAAGCGCGACAGATTCCTTCACCAGCTTATCTAACCGCAGACTCCACGGGCCTCACATCCTAACCCACTTCTCCAACCCAGGTTGACAACGTCGAGATATCGCGGGTGTTTACCCGGAGCAAAACTTGAAGCACCGCATTATAGAGGCACTTCGGTGCAAGGGCTGCCTGGTGGGCAGTAATTTTAGGATCAAAACCTCGAACCCAGACCCAAACCCAAACCCATACCCAAACCCAAACCCGAACCCAAGGATCTGTTCTCAGGTTGATGACGTCGAAGGTTTTGCGGGCGTTTACCCCGAGCACAAGCACCGCATCGTCTTCAGCGCAAGGGTCGTCTGGCAGGCAATAATCTCAACTTCAAAATCTGAAAACGAAACCCCAAACCCCTAAACTTTGACCCTAAAACCTGAATACAGGTGGATGACGTCGACGGTTTTGCCGGTGTTTACCCCGAGCACAAGCACCGCATCGTGGAGTCGCTCCAGCGCAAGGGCCGCTTGGTGGGCATGACCGGGGATGGCGTGAACGACGCCCCGGCGCTCAAGAAGGCTAACGTCGGGATCGCCGTTGCGGGTGCCACTGCCGCGGCCAAGGGAGCGGCTGACATCATCCTGACGGAGGTGACGTGTTCAAACTGCTTTAATCTGGCATGGTCGAGCGACTCTGCTTTGAGAAGGACTGGACAGAGGTGCAAGAGGTGGAACACTCAATGGGCGGAAGAGTTCGTTCATGGAAGGCTATCTGCATGGGTGATTTGTTTTAGTTCCTTATGCTGCGGTTTCAAAAAGTTCGGTGTCTATTAGAGGCTGCAGGGTTGTGTTGCTGCATCGATCAATCGACATACACGCGCACTTGCGCGCGCTGTCCTAATGTTATGAAAGCGGCTGAGAAGATTGTTTGGCACGGATTGTTCTTCAGCGCTTGTCTGAAGAAAAGGGTGCGGAGATGACAGACTTGTCGAGGAGTCTATTGTTATAAGAGTTTCAGTACCATATCGTTGACGCAAAAGGTAAACGAGCCAACTGACGGGAACGCAGTTCTTAGTCGCAGGAGGGTACCTCTAGCGCCATCACATAATCAGGCTTCTTTTCGCGACCCGGAAAGCGTTGAGAGGAAAGTAGCACCTGAGTCTGTTGATGTCAAAATGCGAACAAGTAGTCCGTTTGACACAAACGCATGTGCTGAGCACAGGAGGCCATTTCCACCGTCAACACCGCAAGCAGGCTTCCCTTCGAGTCGGAGCGTTGGATTCTTTTAACCCAAGTGATCATCCGTTTAGACAAGTTCAAATCGATTGTTAGTCTCAAACAACCCCCGGAGCTTTGAGAAGAAAACTGCACCTAAGTATTACTGATGTTTGGACCAAGGCCAAGTGAAATGTCTGACACAAACGCACCTCCTCAATTGCAGGAGGGTATTTCCACCATCATTACCGCGATCCGGCGGAGCCGCATGATCTTCCGCCGGCTCGAGACGTACATCATCTACCGCATGGCGAGCAGCATCCTGATCCTGGGCTTCTTCTTCTTCGCCATCATTGTGCTGACGTTTGAGATGCCCACGTGGGCGCTGGTCCTCATCAGCCTCTTCAACGACCTCTCCGTCATGGCCACGTCCTTCGACATGGTACGTCAGCCGCTGCTAAACCAGATTGGTCCTTCTGACGGTTGCATGATGTCATTACGAATCTGACGACTCCCTCGGATGCTTGTTCATCTCTTGTGGTTGCGCGTGCCGCATAAGAGTACGCACGCCAAGCTTGTGAGGAGTTTTTATTTCCAATTATTCGAACAGGAATAGTGAGTGTCGGTGACTCAAGACTGCATCCGGGGGGACTGTTCAAAGTGGCCCATTTCCTCTACAACCTGCCACGGGGCAAAACATTTTCAGTAGCACAAATTAGCAGTTAACTCCAGGCGTTTTGTAACTGAGTTCGTGCATAGCACTGACTGGCATCAGCATTAGCGGGCCGTAATTGAACCTCATTCTGCTCTGCCATTCATTGCTATGCCAAGATGCACAGCCTTCCTCCCCCTTCCAGCTCTTGTTTTGGCATAATCCAGTTGCGCACCTCCGATGATTTCAAATGCAGAAAGTTGCGAAGGAATCTTCTAAGAGTCCGCTGTCGTGGTTTTTCTCACACCCCATTATTCAAGGGTCAAAACTCACCTTTCTTGCTCCACTCCCTTGACCCGCACGGTTTACGCCTTAACCCACACTGTTCTCTTCGTTAACCCGCAGTGCTTCCTGCCTTAACCCAAACTGTTTTTTGCCTTGACCCAGGTGCACAGCTCCGACAGGCCGATGGTGTGGAACATGATCAAGGACTTGCTGGTTGCCCTCGGCATTGCTTCCGTCGGAATACTGGGTTCCGTTCTGCTCCTCTACTTCGCGTCCCTCGACGAACTCAACTGGTGGCCGTCGGGCTATCAGCTGGAGAGGACGGGAGACCCGCGGATCACCCCTGGGCAGGTGAGAACGAATCGGAAAAGGGGTCTAGATAGAAAATGAAGGGGGAAATGTAAAAGATTGAAAAGCTTTTCTCGACATTTGCAGTCTCGTTTTTCTTACGTGTGAAACTGGGAATTGAGAAGGAAGAAAAGGGGGTAAATGGAAAAGAATGAAAGGCGTTTCCGACAATTGCCCTTAGGAAACTCGAAATCGCAAATTCCGCAATTAAAAAAGGATTTCGGAAGATTAAGAAGGGAAAAATGGGAAGCACGAAAGGCTTTCCGACATTCGCCCTTAGGGAACGCAGTGGCTTCTTCCCCAGCTTGTCCCTCCCTAGCTCCGTCTTCTCTAGCCTCTGCGACTGAAAAATGTAGTTGCAATAAACCATGAATGCTAGCCTGGGCGGGTTAAAGCCGCCCTGTCGCTCAATCTAGCGTTTTTGTGAAGATGGTGCTTCGTCTGCAAGTCGTGCAGAGCAAAGCACAAGTGACGGCTATTGAAATTGTAAACCTCGGTGTGTCAAGTTCCAGGAGCGGGCAAGGCTTGATGTAGTCTCCAGCTACCTGAACCCTGCGCAGCTTTGCAATCGACCAGAAAACCGAAAGCAACGGAAATCGGTAGACTTCGATTGACTGCTCGCTGGCTTGCCAACGGCGATCACGCGCGACGTCACGCTTCGGCGGAACGTACCCCATCACCCATTTTCTGGGTCGTTCCAAACGAATACGTTCGATCTGGCTTATCAACCTCCCCTTGCTTCAAACGAAACCCTCTCTTGGCCGGCTAAGGGCGACAGCAACGCGCACCTGACGTAACGCTCCCCCTCATTTCCCGCAGGTCGTTGCCGTCATGTTCCTGGCGCTGGTCGCCCTGATCCAGCTCAACATTCTGCTGACCCGCAACCCCACGTTCTTCTGGCGCTTCGGCCAGAAGTCCGCGCCGCGCCCGTCCATCATCCTGTTGCTGCCCATGTGCGCGTTCCTGCTCGCGGCCACATTCATTGCGGTGTACTGGCCGTCTGACGTGTCACCTGACGGGGGCGTCGGGAACATGGAGGGCGCAGGTGAGGGATCACTCTCGTTCTTTGCTCCTGTGCGCTGCTTAGAGCGTTTTCTTCCTGATTTGAAGACGCACGCTAGGATGCTTTTGATGCTTCCTGTGATGTCCAGTTCTCTTCGGACATATCAAATGCTATCTTGCTTCTCGAGATTCGATATCGTGCGAAGCCCTTCGTTTTCGACACAGGTCCATCCCTTTTTACTCTGTTGCTCGAAGCGAGAAGCACGTTTGAAACATAACGCATTGCCTTTCTTGTAACGCCTTGAACGAAGCACGCTTCTTTTCTTCTCGGACGGAGTCTGCAAAAGGGCCGTGCTCAGTACCGCCGTTTCGAAGCGAACACGTACGCCCAGACTGCCTGCTAGGCTTCGATTTCAATCAAAGGTGTGGTGTGTCAAAAACTGTGCTTCGTTGAACTGTGCGCAACAGGGCTGCGTGACCATGTTCTTTCCTCCGAACGATATTGAATCTTTCCACTGTGATCATGGATTCCTTTCAACATACGCTCACACCGCGTGCTCCATGTGGCCGCAGGCTGGGTGCCCATCCTGATCACGTGGGCGTACGTCATCGCGTGGTGGCTCCTCGCCGACCTCGTCAAGGTCGCCATCCAGCGCCTCTTCACGCGCTATGACGTCATCGTCGCGCAGTGCAAGGAGACAGGGGAACCGCACCCCGGGTGGGTGCGCGCGCTGGACGCGCCCGCGGAGTGGGTCAACCGGGTCGGGGAGTGCCTACCGAGCCCCTCGCTTGCATTTGCGCGCACGCTGGTAAGCCCCCGGTTTGCTTTGACCCGGTCGCATTTGCGCCCTCCGCTTGCACTGACTTTTCTCGTCCGCACCTTGGACAAAGAGACATGAATATACTGGAAGATTGTTTTTCTTGAAAAGGGGGTTCGGGGATTGCCTACCCAGCCCCTCGCTGGCATTTGCGCGCAAGACGGTGAGCCCCCGGTTGCCTTCGAGGGCTTCGCTTTGCACTGAACTTTGTTATTTGCATTCGGCACATGGATGTTTTCGCATCGCACAAGTTTTTGGAAGACCTGTCATTCTTGAAAGGCCGTGTCGGGCAGCGCCTACCGCGCCCTTGCTGGGGATGGCGCGTACGCTGCAGTGTAAGCCCGCGGTTGCTTTGACCTGGTCGCTCTCGTACGCTCCGCTTTGCTCTGTGTTCGCAAGTCGAGCATGGTTGTTGTGAAACATAGCCCTTCTGGGAACTCGTAAAGAAAGGCTTCTGCAGAATCAGCGCTACAGTTATCCGTGAGGCCGAAGTAGTAGACGCAGCTCTGAAACTTCGCACTGTTGCTTCGTGCGACCAAGAATCTTTTTGGAGATTGCTCATCGGACCAGGGCAAGATCCAAAGCTACAGGAACGGAAAGAAACGCATCCAGCCTCTCGAACGTTTCATCGATGGGCAAGCTGCAGCAAAACCTTGAACTTTCATACATGAATCGATCACCACAAAACTCGAAGACGTAAGCACGACGCAGCACAGCGCTACCAGCAACGCAGCCGGAAATTGCCCACGCGTGTAGATGCGGCCAGCGCTTTGACTGTCTCAAAATTGCATGCCGACGGAACAGCTCTCAATCCAAAACCCTCCAAACCCCGCAGGACGCGCGCGTGACGGGCTCCAAGGCGCTTCAGAAGAGCAGCGCGCTCCGGAAGCTCCTCAGGCGCCCGCGCGCGCCGGGGTCCACTTCGACCGGGGCCCTTGGGCCAAATCTGCCCCTGGACCCCCCCAGAGCAAATCCGCCGCCCATGTCGCTGGTCGAAGCGGTGCAGTCCGCAGCGTCGTCGCCCAGAAATGCGTCCGCAGGGGGCGGCCTCATGAGGAAGATGTCCGCAGCCAGCGTGTTGCCAACTAGATCGATGCAGAGAACGCTCTCGCGGAAGGCGTCCGCGCCAACCGTGTTGGTGGGCGGGCGGGGGGCGCCCGCGGGGACGAGGGGGCAGGAGATTGAGATTGTGGTGGACCGGCGGCAGTGAGAAGCAATAACACTTCAACTATTTGAAGCTTCAGCTCACCAGCCTTGGGCGGGTAGGGTTACTTTGGGGGTGCGGCGTGGGTACGGGTGCGGAGCAAGATGTTTTTATAGGTTAGGATTCAGTGTCTGGTTTGACCTTCTAATTAGGTTTTATTTCTATTACGTGTCGCGACATGAAAGTGAGTGTGGCAGTCTAGTAAGTCCCGTTTCACTTAAGAGGCATTTGACTTACTACAGGCGTTGGGGAGATGGGGGGTTCAGCATGGTGGTTAGGTGGGTTCGGGTGCGGAGCGTGTAAAGTTTGAGATAATCGCCTCTAAAGTGATATGAGAGTTACCAGAATGGTCGGGCGGTGTCTTGTAATGCTTGCAAAGGGTATTGGCATTGATCACAGACCGGGGTTGACGTCAGAAGAACAGAGACGGCAAGAATGAAGCTCGACTTTGAGGGACATGAAGCGACTGGAAGAGTTCCAAGCTCCAACTGCTCTGTACTTAATGTTAAGTCATTTGCCGACTTCGCTTGGACAGAGCCGAGGTTGTCCGGTCAGCGGACGGAGTTGCCTTCATCAGTCTATCATTGGTGCGAGTTATGATCGAACACGAGCTGACACCCGCTGACTAAGCAAGTTTTCACGTTAGATAAGCTTGATTCCGGGCGGTATCCACGTCTGAAGCGGTTGTGTGTAGAAAAATTGAGGTCTTGGTCCTAAGTTTAGCTGTCTGAAGAACAGCCATGAGTCAAAACCTGGGTGTTTTGGGGTTGTGCATCGCGGAGCTGATCAGCATCAACATGATACTACCAATCATTACACGGACTCTATGCTCGGGATCAATGTCGTACCTTTACGTAGCTTTGTAACTCCCATCTGATTCGGTGCATCTTCAATGAAATCACATCGCCGCTATACACAAATATGCGGAAACCTCCCGTCTTCAAGGCATTCTGGAGCTGCATGAAATGGTCGATCGACCATGCGGTCACTTTCTTGTTCGTAAGATCAGCCTTGTGCGCTGATTCAGTCATATAAATCAACAACGAATGGTCGGAATGTAATCAGGGGATCGTCCGCGTGCAACCCCACGTGAACTTGTATGTCGTTGGCGACCATTTGTCTTAGTGTTAGTCCTCAATTCGATGAAAACGGTTTCAGTCACCCAATTTCGAGATCGTTATAGAATCACCGGGCCTTCTACATGAACCAGGGTCGAAGTCTGGAAAGCAAAACGAAATCTGGTCGACAAAATTATTTACCACCCTTCTGAAGGTGCGGCGCCGGGTTCAACTTGCAGGTGCGGGCCCGGTTGAAGTCGAAGTAGCGGTACGCACAAGTCTCCGGCCTTCGTCCGTCACAAACTGCGGCGAGGACCTTTTATGCATAATCGGCACTGTTAAGGGCTAGCAAGATTCATCTCGGGTACATCAGTCTAGCTAGATAGACGCCAAACATCGGTTTTGAGGAGATTTTTTGCATGAAGAAAAGCTTCTGGCGCCGGCACACAACGGTTTCGAGTTTCTGATATTATAAGGATGTCTCCGTGCCTTGACCGGCTAAAACAAAAGCGGTTACGAGGTGCACTGATCGGCTCTTGTTTGTTTTGTTGCAATTCGGTGTTGCTTCGACCATTGAATCGAGCGGCGACACGGGCGAGCTGATTTTAGATTGCGAGCCGGCTCTCACAGTAATTGCTCCGCAATCTAGAACTAGCTCGCCCGTGTCGCCGCTCAATTTGGTCGAAGCAACACCGAATTGCAGCGAAACACACTAGTGGGAGAGCCGGATCCATTTGGAGCTTAAGAAGACCCGACCGCTTTGAAGCTGCGCATCTGGCCTGAAACTGCCTGAAACTTACGTTTTAAGAGGACATCAAATTCGCCCCGTTTTGGCGGCCACGGCGATGATGCCGCGGCCCCCGCTAGCGCGGAACCAAACCTCTGCCTGAACCCCGCGCCGGCCCCTGCTGTGCTTCAATCAAGGACTTCGAACCGAACGGCTCAGGAAAGTTCGGGGCGACAGCACGGGCATGCCGAAAGCCACCTGGCGGCCCAGCATTTTGGGGCTTTGCGGCTCCGGCGGGTGCAGGAGCAGCGTCCGACGCGCTCATCCGCGCGGCCGCGCTCGCGGCCTCAGCCTCCACGGTCGCGTCGGAGCCGCTCCTCGTCGACGCTCGCGCTCAGCTCGGGGTTTAACGGCGCCTTGAGCACACTGAGCTTGTGCGCGCTTGCATTGATCGCAACTTGAAAGAGGCGATTGCGGCCGCGGCTCAGAGGACGGCGTTGGGCGGCCGCGGCTTTGGCGCGGGCCGCTAGGGAAGCGGGGCGGGCGGGGAGAAGGGGGAGCGGAAAGAGGCCCTGTTGCGGGAGGGGATGCGAGGGTTCTGACCGGCGGAGGGGCCCGGGGCGACGGGAGCGGCTTGGGCGGGGCCTTGGTGCAAACCGGGGATGGCGGGGAAGCCTGAGCCTGTCCGACTAAACACAGAGAGGTTCTAGATCTACAGTGAAAAGTTAGCGTCTGTAATATCTTTTTTGAGAGGATCTTGTTTGAGTGTCGCGACGTAATGCTGGCACGGCTGTTGTCTATTGCTGGGTTAAGTCAGTTATCAGATGGTTTGATACGGAGCGCGTAAGGCGTTGTGGTCGTCCGTGACTGCGTCGTATGTTTGAAGGTTCAAAGCGTTCCTTTGACGTCTTCTACCGAGCGAGCGGCTGAGAACAGAGGAATGCGGACCAAAGTCGAGGGTCGAAGAAACGGCAAATCTCTTTGGTGCAATTTTTTAGGTAGGCGTTTGAGTGTGCGAGGATCTGTTGAAGAAATAGACTTCTGAGTGTAAACAAAGCAGAATACTGACGTCCTTGTTGTCTGTATAGCTCAGGATGTACGCGTTTATGTCAGCAAATCTGCAAGGGTCTCGACAGCATATACAACTCTAGGCGTTCGGCGGTGAGACGATACAAGGGTCTTGACAGCATTGACTTCAAAGCTGTAAAGAAACCCAAACTTTGACGTCTTTGTCTTGACGTCATTGTTCACTGACGCTTGCAGCTCAAAAGAGCGGAAGGCGGCGTCCATTTCTTGGACGAAGCGTACCGTCTTATCGTCCCCGGTTCGACAATCGACTTTGGAAATGAAGCGCTGGAACAAATCATGAGCCAGATGGACAGCGGCAAGCTCATGTGCATCTTCGCAGGTCAGCATCTTTGTCTTGTTCTCGGAACAGACCGTTTGGGACGATTTTGTGGTCTGTCCCGTATTCGCTTCTTGCTTTAAATCATAAAAATTCTGGCAAATCACTTTGACTTCCAAAGATGCATAAAGCACTGGTTTTGGAAGGGGGCAAGAGGCGGTCTTCGACGTCCTGGCAGACTTCTTTCAACTTGAGAGTGTGGACCGTGCTCTTGTTTGTTCCTAAGGCCCGACATTCTCAAGATTACTTCAAGATTGCAGATGTCATCGTTACCGGCCCCTCTCACGCCAGAGCTTCTTGAGGTAAAGAGGCCGGGTAGAGCGCTTTCCTTCGATTGGACGATATGAAAGCACAAACACTTCGTATCTCTTCCAGTGACCGAAACGGAGTCGGAAAGCGTCCGTACACAGCGATTGAAGTCAACAATTGAAGACTTCTTACGCAGTCTTTCGTCCATTCTCGTTCCAGGTTACGAAACGCCGATGAAGAAAGTGCTGGACTGCAACGAGGGCTTCCTCATTGGCGGGTCGGGAAGCAGTTCGTCTTCAAGGACTACACGTCCGCCCAGATTGCTGACATCATGCTGATCAAGATGGCGGGGCCGGAGGCCGCCCGCTCCATGCTCAATTCCGCTCGCGCCGGAGTGCACGCGCGCAGACCTGGAGCGGCTGATCGACGAGCGGATTCCGGTGGCGGAGCGGCGGCACCAGAACGGCGGCCTGGCGATGACGCTGCTGCAGGAAGCGCGCGACCGCCCTGGACGAGCGCCTGGACGTTCAGTGCGCGGACCTGGCCGCGTTGCTGACGTTGACACTGGCAAATTTTGAGGCCGCCGCTGACGGCATGAGTCCGGTTGAGGCCGTTCCGGTGGCGGAACCAACGACGGATCCGACGGACCTCATCTGCCAGTTGAGCCGCCACGTGGGCTCGGTGCTAGAGCGAGAGGCGTCGTCCCCCGGAGTCGAGCTGATTGACAGTCCAAAACAGAAGAGGAGGTGGATTCACGTGCCTAAGTCGCACCGCTTGGTGGTTCAAAAGAAGAGCGTCTCGCAGCAAGGCTTGTTTCTCGAAAGCTAAGTTTCAAGCTCCGGCCCGTGCATGTAGGCAGTTTGTATCGGTACAAAACTTGAAATGTTCATGCAAGGTTAAGAGTGATCCCAGGCCCTGAGAGCACTGTCGAAGAGGCCGCCTAGTATTGACCAGGATCATGCATGGATGAACCATGTCGCATGCAAACAACACGGTTCAACTTACCCCTTTTGCCCAGCGATAACTTGGCACAAATTGCAGTATATCTAGTCCATGTCCATGAATTTTGTAAATGAATGATTCGAATAACTTCTCTCTAGCTTGATCGAATCCGACAGATGATTTGATATCGCTGCCTGGCCGGGCCGCGAGTCATGCATGCACCGTCACATACCAGTGATTTCGGATGGGCCGACCCAGGCTGCAGTGCGCATCATTCATGTTTCAAATTGTAAAGTGATCGAAGCGCGCGTACGCGGTGTATTTCTGGACAATTACAATACATGCGGAGAACAGAAGGTTCTCGATCATGAAAGCGACCTGTCCGACGGATCGACCACCATTCCTTTTAAGGATTCATGACCCCACTGTCAGACTAGCACGCCCTGCAAGGCTCACGCCCGACTCGAAATTCTCAATGAAAACGTGAGCCGAGGCCCGAGACCATGAGAGACGTACATAAGCACAACCTCAAGCCGGTTCATGGCCGCAACATTAATACAACTGCCCCGAGAATACGGAACCTCAAACACCTGACCGGCCCCTAAATCTACCTCACATGGACACTACACTAACCTACCGGGCTTAGACTAGACTTACTAACAACCAAGCTGGAAAGGCTTCCGAGTTTTCGACCTTAGCTGTTTGCTTCTGCTAACCGACGTCCCTAGCCCGATCCGTTACAATACAGCACTAGCAGAACTGTTTGGAAGCGAAGCTTCGTTCTCCCTCGCGCAAGAGCTTTTCACTTCAATTTACATTTCTCGAGAGGAAAACAGTGAATCTCCCTACCAAGCACCTGGAATGTACATTCAACACGCCGACGCTTTCACTTCCCTGGCAATATACACAGAACCGCCCTTTCTACACCTCGCTCTCCACATATCTTACATTGCCACCTGAGCGGCAAGTTCGCCAAAGCTGCCGTTGCGCGACATCCCGGCAATGCCGTCGCCGCTGCAAAGATCAACCAAAGTCGAGCTGATAAATAAACGAAAATGTTGAAAACAGTATTTGAAAGCAAGAAAACCGCGGTGATGACCAGTTTAGGAGGTTCTGGTGCCGTGCGGTCGGTTAAATCGATCCTGGGTGACGAATTTTGCATGCGTCAAATGCTTGGAACAACCCGAGAAGCGGCCTCAAGTTTTCCCGAGCTCGTCGGAGCTCCTACGCAACCGGCCCTGAATGGGCTGCTTCGCAAAGCAACGAGAGGTCGAAAAGCCGAAGCTGACACAAAGAGATGTCTTATCTGCGCATTGGATTCTAATTGGTCTACTCCTCCGAAGAAGTCAAGTCTTTCGGGAATTATCGAAGTTGGTTCTGCTGCTCTGTCAGCGGGGCAGCGGAATGCTCTTCAATTTCAAGGTTGACCAAGAGCATATTCGAACGCGGACTCATGCCCGGGGGAGAAAGCATGAATTAACAACTTAAACACATATTTAACATCCTACGCACCTCGCTAACCTAAACCCTCAAAAAATGTCTACCCGTTTTCCATGCACCATCGCCAGTCTAAATAGCACTTGGGCTCCACGTTGATCACAAAGGCTGGGAAGCCGCCAATCAACGCCAGCGGGCGATGTGAACCGTGGTTTATGAACCAAATTTGCCGACTTTTGGAAATCAAGTACGGGGGTATACAGCGCCACGCTGGTTTGATCGAGTCTCTAGACCACCCACATGAAGTAAAATGCGGGCCCTTGGATAAAACAAACCCAACAATAACCGAAAATCTTGCCAAGGCACTCACCTGGCAACCCTGAACATGGTCCCGCAGAGCTGCCCGTGACTGTCCACGCGGCCAATGGCGCGCATCGGCTTCCCGCGCCTCACGTAACTGCACAAAAGCGCGACTTTCAGCTACAAAATTGTCGACAAATTCTGGAAACTTTGGGGTCCTAGCAAGAGGCTCAGGAAAATATTTTGGGATACTGAAGGCGCGAGTGACGTAGGTGGACTTATTGAAAAGCACCATGAGTGTGTCAAGCAAGATTACTTTCGCCCCAAACCGCAATGTTCATGCCTTCCGAGTCTGCAAAGTGGGAAAGGCAGCACGGCATGCGGAGCTCTGTCTTCCACGTCTCATATCCTGACCGTGTGAGGCGTTTGAATGTTTTCTCAGTCTGGCCAAGCTGCCTCCCTTCTCGACTCCACTATCCGAAGTCCGATGTACAAGGCCCCCAAGTGCCAATTAAAGCCGGCCACACAGACAAGATAAGAGAGAGGTTCTCAGGTATAAGGAGAAACAACTCACCTGCGCACGTGTCCATACTCGTCCGTCTCCATGCTCTCGAAGAAGCAGCCCGCCGGAAACTCCGACGCCGCGGCAGCCCCGGGCCCGCACTCGTTCTTCAGCAGGCGGATGTCGGACGCAAACAGCAGGGCGCCTGCAAAACGATACCTTGTGTCGATCCAAAGACTCAAAAGGTGTTGGAACGAGCAGTGCTTGTGGCTAGATCAAAGACAAAGGGTCATGACTAAAAACGTGCCAAAAAGTGGCCGTTTTTCTTACTGAAAGTCTTCAACAAGAAGCATGCGAGCTTCCGTCCAAGATGACGAGAAAGAAGGGGCTGGACATGTGTCAAGGAGACCCTGGCAACAGAAGGATCCGGCCACCCGTTGAAGCGGGAAACGTTCCAGCTTTGGAGGAACTAGACTCTACACTGGAACCCCGGGTCTTTCGGTTGCGCAGCTGACGCTGGATGCACACTCACTGCGCTCATGCCAAGAGGGTTCCATACCTCCCCTCAAAACCCGTTGGCACACGACCTTCCAATGTCCTTCTGACTTCGACTCTAAACAGCCAACCGCTAAGGACAAGACCGAGAAAACCGTTGATCATAAAAAGGGCCTTCCAGGACCGAGAGAAGCGGGGCGCGCGCAGGGGGCGCACCCGTCTCGGACGCGGTGCCCCAGCAGAGGGGAGCCCGGGCGCCAGGGTCCCTAGCCACCAACAGGTATTCCATTGAGGCATCGTAGAGAACCATGGCCCAGTCTCCCTGCCAGGGGGAAAAGGAGAGGGGGAAGAAGAGTGAGGCCCGCATAATATCAAAGAGTTCTGGGGGGAGCAGGAAATAAAGGTCGTTGAAAAGGGGAGGCATCGAGACTTCGTAAAGAATCATATGTCTATTATATGTCTGTTCTACCTGCCAGGGGGAAAAGAAGAGGGGGAAGAAGAGTCGAGCCCAGGTAGAGTTCAATGGCCTGACCGGGGGGGGACAGGGAGTGGAAGAGACTATGCAGAAGCACAAAAGAATGAGCAAATTGAGGCACTAGAGGGAATCGTGGCCCAGTGGTTTTGCCAGCACTGGGACAGAAAGGAAAAGGGTTGGGACCATCAGCCCGAGCGTGAGCCGTATCTCCGCTCAAACCGTTGCACTTATCGAGTGGAAGACGACTCTTTGAATAAACCCCTCTTGAAATGGTCTCGTATGGAGGTGGAGTTAAATTTCGAAAGGGGTTGCTGGAACAATAAGACAATCTGGCGACCAAGAAGGCTTGGAATGCTGGCGCAGTGTTACGAAAAAGTACCACTCTTTGAAAGGTCGCAGCGGCCAGGATAGCAAACATTAGGAGCGAAGTGTGCCACGTCCGATCGCAGCCCGCTTAGAGCACAGTACGCCCGTGCCATCTGGACTATAGTCTCAGAACTCCTACTCCGAGCAATAGCAAGCTCAAGGGACTTCTGAATGGGGGATGAAGGCTGACGATTGCTTTGTAAATCGTTTTTGCACGCAGACAGGTTGGAACCAAGTTGAAGTAGCAACGACTTTAGCCTTCAATGCTTTCACTCAACAGAGAAGCGCAAATGAGGACATGGGAAGCCACAAGCGGGAACAAATGAAAGCTGTAGAGGTACTTTGGGCGCCCCTGGTTACAACAGCTGCTGTTGTAGTCGGACCAAGGAAAGATACCCGAAAGATGATTGAACCGCTCAGGGCTTCTTGCAGGAGGATTTCGAAGCAGCTGGCTACAAAACCATTCAATGTGGAACCCCTAAAGCGTCCCAACGATGCTCGTTTCAGAAAAGTCAACGCGAGACAAAGGAAAAATCTCGCAAAGAAGGCAATTTCAAACCACGGTTTTTAAGAGAGACTCTGTACCTGGAGTGCGTCGAGGCAGGTGGCAGGCTGCGCAGAGCAGTCCCCGTAAGCGTCCACGAATCCCTGCAATCAGCCGAAGCTTATGTCAGCTCCGCTCACAGACAGACAGACAGCACTCTGTGTTAGAGAGAAGACGTACTGATAAAGCTGTTCGCACCCCACGTCCGTTACCAATTACTTTCAAAGTTTTTGCATTTTCGCACCGGCCAGACGAATACCAGACGGCCAAACGCCCAAAGGAATCTATGAACTTTCACACAAGTCACAAAATCATTCTGCATTTTTTCGTCGGAGTTAGTACTTATTCTGCTAAACCGAATGGCAGTACGATATCCGACTGAGAGCCACAGATGCGGAGCGATTTCCCAGGTCTTGCAGAGAGCAACCAAACATGGGGATCATGGATGTCCACGAAGTTCTTGGTCGTACATGACAATGTCAAAACGTGCACAAAGTTTAATGCCTCAAAAGGAAGAGAAACTGTAGATAAGAAGGCCTTGCAGACACAACTCAACCAGTGGTACGCACCGCATGTGCAAACTTCTGCAGGAAGAGGTCAATCAAAACGTGCATGAAAACGAAGTCCATCGCCAGAGTCGAATTAGCAGCACCTTTCAACGAAGAACTGCGATTCACATGAACGGCCACTAATCGAAGCCTCAAGTACGAGGTAGTTGAGGACATTCAGACTGGGGCAAACGACGTTCTCAGTTCCCGGGAGCTCAAACGAAGTCCTCAGTATATGAGCTCTTGAAAGCACCAGTACACGCGTCCTCTTCAAGAAAGCGACACAGCAACCAACCAAGTTTTGCCAGGAGTGCCTCGTCCTAAGTTACATTGCCATAAGCAGCTTGGCGCTCTCTGAGGAATACGAGGGGGTCCTCTCCAGGGGGCAGCAGATCATACGGAATGAACCGGGAATCTGCAAAAAAGCGTTCCTTGTAAACAGTAAAGGAGTAGAACTGCACAAACTAAAGCGCCTCACCCTGAGGTACATTGCCATGAGCAGCTCGGCGCTCTCTGAGGTGGCACTGAAGTCGAGGGGGTCCTCCCCTGGGGGCAGCAGGTCGTACAGCTCGCGGATTTCGCCCAGGTTCTCAAGCTTGCCGTACAGAACCAGTAGCACCTTCTGGTCGTCACTGGTGGAGGAAGAACAAGGAACGCTTGGTCAATGACAAGGTTAGGCGGGTGAAAGGAGAGTACTTCTTGTCGTCAGTGCACAGACGGAACAGGAGATTCTGCGTTAGCCCCAGGGTCAAAGAGCTCCTCTTAAAGGTACTTATAGTCAGCGCACTTCGCCCAGGTTCTCGAACTTGCCGTACAGGACCAGCAGCATTTTCGGGTCATCACTCTTGGGAAGAAGAGGGAAACGTTGGTTAGGGACAAGTTCAAGGCGAAGAGAGCAACATTGTACCACGGGCGTCTCGCGTAGGTCTTTAGTTTACTGTACAGCACCACAAGCACCTTGTGGTCGTCACTACGAAGACAAAAAACGAAACCTAGATTAGTAGCATAATTACAGAAGACTGAAAGACAGCACCAAAAGTCATATATCAGCCCATCTTGCGCAGGTAACCTAGCTTTGCCGCATACCGCCAGTAGCACCTTCTGGGCGTCACTGCGTAAATGTACAGACTCTGTTTGCGACAAGGTCTTCAGAAATTCTCGCTACAGGTTGAGTGGACTCAAGTACTCGTCTGTAGCTACGATATGCAGACCCAAGCTCTGCTAGATTCTTCAGCTTGCTGAACAGCACCTGAACAGCTCCCATTTTGCATACAAGTGCAGGCTGACAGCTAGTGGTCGTCTGAAAGGAACTTATCTTACCAAACGAAGCTAGGAACTCCAAATGCATCAAGACCCCAGCTCAGAGTGTGGTTTAAGTCGCACGTTGGACTGAAAAAGCAGATTCTCATGACAAACTCTGGTTAAAAAGCCAGGCAGACCAGCCCACATTCAGATACTAAGGGCTAGCTAGATGATGTTTTCGAGCCATTGAAGACCTTAAGTTGGACACAGGACACCAGCAAGTATACCTGCTTCTCTTCCTGTTGAGGGGATCGATTTTATGGTCAGTGATCACTGAAGGTTAATTTCTAATGCCGAAACCGATAGTCCATGACAGCCATGCTTTCAATCCCAGATATTCAACGTAGCCCAAGTTGCTTCTTTCTTGACATGACAATTGCATTATCCAATAGAGGAAGAAAATAGATTAACTCCAAGTCAAATTCCTCACTCCATGCTAGTTGCCTCAGCATACGACACCAGCGGGTTCTTCTTGTCCATCGCCATGGCTGCTCCCACCACAAAAAGCTCGAGGACATTGCTCTTCATGTGGGGGGGGAGCTCGTGCCTCATGTTCTTCATGTGCCGCTGAGTCAAGAGCTCGCGTGCGTATCCAAGCCTGCAGAATCCAGAAGAAAGCTACATTGAAACAGGGAGAACACAACCTCGCGACATGATTGAGACATGTACAATGCTGACTCTCTTGTGTTATTATGAGCCACTGAATTGAGAGCTCACAGTCGCAAGCCTGCACGAAGTAGGTGGTTAAGCAACAGGTATCAATACATTGTGACGTCACAACCACACAAGACACAAAGCTTTGCTGTTGAGAGTTGGGCACTCTGGGCGCAGCACAAGTTGTCTCATCAGTCAAGGTTCAGCAAGGCTTTCCTTAAGGACAAGAGTAAAGCCTTCTTGCTGACAAACTGCTAACTATAGAAGTGCGTCACTTAATGTCAGCATTTGAGTCAAGCTTCTAGGTGAAGGTCTGGCATGAATCTTCAACGAAATTGGCAAGTAGTGCTATGTGCGACCCTTCAATCACTGGCAAGTTCATCCGCACAATACCCTCCACCAGATAGATGCAGGAAATCCAGGGAGAATCGGAGACACCCCCAATTATGCAAGATATATAGAAGCTAGAACCAACAGCGTACCTCCCAAAGCAGGGAAAGTGTCACGCGGAGTCGCTCAGCAAACCGATAAACTTTTGAGCTTAATGTTTTCCCCTACTAACACAGCAATGCCCTTATCAAACTGGACAATAACCAGTCTAAGCTTGAGGGATGCAACGAGCTTCTTCGATTCATGCTCTTTCGTATCTAGTAGCTGGGGGACAAATTCGTGAGAATATATCCTGCTGACATGGTGACGCTACTTTTAATTGCAAGGGCTGTTGACTGCAAAGAGAAAGCAGGCAGCACTCATGGAGCTTCACTGTCAACGTGCAGCCCTGGCTCAAACCTATGAAGGCCAAAGTTTCCAGGATGATGTCAAGAGTCTCAACTAAGGGATTGCACGCAGGCAACAACAACCTGATTGCACACACTGCAATTGTGTGACTCTGGACACACTCAGATTTGTCAGGGTGATTCCTTTGGAATGAAACATTGACTGAGGTTTCTTGGCAGCTTTCCATTGAAGCAACTGCTGTGAATTAAAACACTGCTCTGGGAGGTTCCTACAATTTGCCCCTCCAGAAAGGAAGCTGTTCACCGTGTGCAGAAGTTAAGGTCAACCAAACAAATCATTATGGTCGTAAGCACTTCCACTCTGCTCCTTCATTCGTCACCGGGGAGGATTCGAATCCCCTCTCTCAACCAAATGGGGCATGCAATCTCTGCAATAAATGGGACGGTTGGTCTTCAAGAGAAAGTACTCACCCAGGGTGCCCGCTTGCCTCCTCTGGCATGTCTTCACCTTTGTGCCTCATCTCAGGGGCACAGGAATCAGACACGTCCATGGGCGGTGGTGGGCGGGCCGTAGCCCTGTCGATGACTGCAAACATGTTGGCCCCTTCTGAGGTGTTTTGAATTCCGATTCAGCTTATAGTTCAGAATCCAGCAATGCGAGGAAAACGCTGAAAGGGATTGAAGTCGGCTTTGCAAATAAAGCTGCAATGGGCGAGAGAAAAGTCCCAAGGAGAAGTGTGTTTCAGGACCAACTCCGGACTTCTTCTTCAGCTATGGCTGTTTCTGCTGGCGCTGATCGTTCTGCTTGCAAATTGCAATGTGGTGCACTGCATGCTTTACTAACAATGACATTTTGCAGCAAGCTTGGCTAGGAACCCAGCTCAGCTGCTAAGTGTAGCTAGCTACACCACCATTGGCGCCATCATGGCATGAGTCGCCCGCGCGGGGCGCTGCTTCATCTTCATCCCCTACGTTGTACGTGGGTGTACGGTGAATTCTGATGACTGGCGTGCCTCGTCAAGAAAGGGGTTCTGTGTGCCCTCGATTGTTATCTTCCTGCAAATCGGACGGCTTGAACCGAGATATCGATGACACGTCATGGGAGCCAAATGAAAGGCAGTACGGCGCGAGAAGTCGGCAACATCGAAGGGTTTTGATCAGGGACATCTGGCCGTAAGATAACGGGGATAATCTCATCCCACGGCTGGAAGACGACGTTGACCATTTCGTCAAACCCTGAAGGCGGTTCGAGCAACTAATCGGCGCCTGGCTTCGCGCGCGCATCCTGATTCCTCAAAAGCTGGCGCTGTCCGGAGACGAAGGCTAAGCATCCTGTCGAGCAGAGAAGCACAAAAAGGAAAGCATGTTGTCTCTTGTCACAGCTGTTGCTTTCCAGATTATGAAAGAACTAACTGCCAGAAGGTTTTAGCTGCGCCTGTGGGTTCAAGGTCCTGCAGTGATGCGTAGTGGACCACTCACTGGAAACCGAGTGCAATCAATCCACACTTCCTCCAGTACTGACTCGTCCACTTTAGGAAAGTGTAATTTGAGATCTCTTTACTCGTTCTTTGTGTGTGGCAACGTTCTGTCTCTTGTGATCGAGCTGCTTGACAACATCGTAGGACCTGACTGCAGCTTTGTTCACTCTGCTTGTATGCTCCTTGATGGAGATATTTGTTGAGTTGGAACCTGGCTTTCGCGATGTTTAGAGCAAGTTCGTGCACTCAAGCAGCTCAAGGGGCATGAAAATTGGCAGTGCACCGAGTTCGGACTCGGCGTGACAATATTTTGAGTTCTGTCAAACGGTTTCAACGAAGGGGCCCCCGATGGTCAGAATATTACTCGATCGATTTCAAGCTTCCTGACTTCAAGAAGCTTTGTCGAGGACTGACCACGAAGAATGTCAGGCCGAAGTCCTACCAACTCGCACCCCAAGCAGGTGCTCATGCAGATCGAACGATTTCACGCAACTATTGTTTCGCTTGCTGACCGACTACAAGAGGAGCAGAAGAAGAATTGCTCTCAGAAACATTGCGCCCGAATCACGAAGTGTCATACGCCTGCGATGAAAGCAATTCTGTGCTGGTTTCGACAGCATATCTGGCTGAGCAGGAGACGAGGCAAAGGCGTCGATCTAGAATATGCACGCGGAGTGAGAGCAGCTGATCAAGAAGACCTTCGCGAAAACTCCTGAGGTTGTGTAGGATGAGCCAAACCTTTTTTGTCGGGTCAGCAACCTCATGCCCGAAAAGGAGGCCTTTTTGCTGAAGCTAGCTTTGTAGTGACTCAACGTTTGCATTGTTTGAATAGCAAAGCCAACAGCAAGATTGTCAGACGCTCGAAGCACTTTTCTTCGTCCAATCAAGCAAGGCAGGCGAGAAAGATGGGAGCAGCAAGGAAGATGCAAGCAGAGATGGAGAAGACGCTGAAAAAGGTGAGACATAAGCGATAGGCTGCAGCCTACGAAGTTGAGGGTTCTCGAAGCCAGGTATAAAAGTAAGCATCTATAAAACCGATGGGAGGTCGAGATGTCTTCCAAATCTCTGCAAAATTTTGCATGCTCTGATGATGAATCAAGACAGGAAGAAGTGCAGGTCTGGAACTCGTGCATGGAGCTGCAAAAAACGTTTCAGCAGCAATTAACGTTTCAGCAGCAATTAAGCTCTACAAACCATGGACCCAATTGCAAGTAGCATCGCTGTTCGCCATTACTAGCCTTTTTTCAGATACTGGATTTGAACGGTCAGCGTATCCACGCTGCAATTGCACGGAACCCTAGCTTACACTTTCATCTGAATGTCCTGATGATTCCAAGCAGCCTTATCCTCCTCGGAGTAAACTCAGCTCGATCTTCCACAAACGCTCTGATTTATGTTTTCTGGTTGAAATGTAGGCTGATTGCAATAGCCTTCTCTTTAAAGTGGATTCTTAGGCCCACTAGAACCATTAAATGCCTATTTGAGAATATGAGGTGCAGAGCAACTGCAGCGAGTTGGTTTTGCTTTGAATTGGAGAGGGTAAGAAACTTTGATCACAGGTATAACACAATATGCAAAACTTTGAGCATGTTGAATCTCACCAAGATCTGCACTGTCTCACGATTGAAATCCGCTTTGACCGCAGGTGCAAGAGGGAACGGATCTCTTTGAGGAGATCTGGAAAAAGATGGAGGACGCGACAGAGTCGACCAAGAAGGAGAAATCTGAGGCAGAACTGAAGCACCAGCTGAAGCGCCTGCAAAGGTACAGGACAGATGCAATGAAACTCTTGGGCCAATTTTCTGCGCTTTGGAGCAGACCATGCGGAGGAAGGGCAAACTTGTGTGCCTTGTGCATATGCCTGAATGCCATGTCGCTGCGACATAAACTCTGCAGATCTATGTCGTCGAAAGACTCGGAAGGAAGTCCAAGTAGAAACTTTGTTGGGGAGTCTTTGACACCAATCCATATCTGCGTTTCCACTTTGAATCTGAAGGGGAAGAATGCTGCTCAGAAGTGTTTCGAACCCCTCATGAAGCATATAGGGATGATAACCGGTCCACCCTAAGATCCTGCGCGTGCGTGCTCGCTACTGCCCGAGACATCCTTCACTTCCCTCAGCCCTAATTCCTTCTCAAATGAGAACCGTTACACATGAAAAGTTGGACTTGACGTTGGCTTTGCTCTGCTACAAACCCTTAAAAGTTTTGCAGGTCCCGCGAGCAGATACGGCTGTGGCTTGCATCCTCCGATATCAAGGCGATCGACAAGAAGAGCCTCGAGGGCGCGCGGCGACAGATCGAGTCCGACATGGAGCGGTTCAAAGTAAGGCGCCTTAGAGTGCAGAGCATGGACTCGTTATAGCTCTGCGGAGATCTGCCTGCTGCTCTTGGTCATAGTGAGGCTCTCTGAAGCCTGAAGCTAAAGCTGTGGGGAGAATCGCATCCGAAGAAGTGCGTCGTCTCGGTCTTACCTGCAGATCTGCGAGCGTGCTGCTAAGATCAAGGCCTTCTCGAAGGAAGGGCTGGAGCTGCAAGTGAGTCCGAACCGATTCATTCGGCGCACTCCGGGCTTGCCGTCCTGAGAAAGCGTAAAGCCGCGTTAATTTTCGAAAGTTAGAAGGACTTGACTTACATGGGTCGGTTCGTAAGATTACAAAGCAGCATACTGCCTTTCTGTACCTCCGGTTTGGCTGAGAAGGGTGACACTTGTCAAACAACAAGAACTTTTGAAATTGACCTGAATTTGTGCACGCAGCCGAAGATCGATCCAGAAGAAGCGGCAAAAGAGGAGGCTAAAGACTTCATCAACAAGGTACGGAACAGAATCTGAACGTTTTAGGGGTCCAGAGCTCACCTTTTTCAACCATGAAAGCTCTTTAGGCAGGACGGTAAGAATCTAGAAAGGAACTGTCAACATTCTCGGAAGTGGAATGTGACACTGTCTCGTGAATTTGGCTGCAAGGATCATCTTTATTCCCCATCAGAGCTCGAACTCAGTAGGAACGTCCCTCTTTTAGGCTAGGCTCCAGCCTGTTCACCTTTAAAGATGATGCAACTTACGTAAAGATCTGAACAGGCAGGTCCCTGCTGCTTTTCGTACTCTTCGTTTCGATATCGATCACTGCCATAAACTGCTTCAAGTGAGTCGATCTGCTGATCTGCAAGCATCCCTTGCAGTCGCTGGACGATTTGCAGCTTCAAGTGGACGAGTTCGAGTCCGAGATGGAAACCATCAGCGGCGGTGAGCTTCACACTATCTTCGCCCAAAGTTTCAGAGGGCTGCTTAAACGGAGATCTCCTATGCGGGAAATCACTCTGAGTCTTCGTATCGAGTATCTTCAACTCCATGCTCTATTTTTCTGACATGTGAGTTGATTCGTTCCTCCATACGTAGCTTCTACTACTCGGCGTTATGCATCGGGTAAGACACACGCAATCACCGCTACTTGTTACATATTGCTTGAGACCTACTAATATTTGTCTCGTTCTTTTGAGCCTCAGCAAAGGCGCAGAAGAAAGACATTGGACGTCTGCAGGAATTGGAGAAGGTGGATGGCCAGGTACGGTCCAATTCAAGCTTTCGGAGATGTTCTTCTTGGCCTTGTTGGATATCAAGCGAACCTCTGCGTATTCTTCACTCTTGGTCATAATCGTGCATGATAGCAAGTGCTTCAAAGATTATGGAGGCATTCTACCAGGATTCGATATGATATAGAGATCGGAGAAGAGAAGACGTGTCTTCTTCCCGCGCTATAAGTAATACGGTCGTCAAACTTGACCGTATACTCATAAGCATTCGTGTCCGATTGCAGCACAAATGGCACAAGGCAAAGCTCGAGCAGGTAAGAACTCGGAACGCACTTCCCCTACCTCACTGATGGGCAGAGGGCCGAACATTCTCTTGGGCTTTGACCGCTCCATCTTCTCGCAGAAGTCCTTCCCACTCCGCTCCTGAGTTGAACTTTCCGAAATTGCATACATATTCTCCTGCCTAGCTTGCTGAGCGCCTTGTTTCTTTCAGATGTGGCTCCAGCCAAGTAGAGTTTTCGAGCGCCCAAAAGCCTGATCCTGGTTTGCCTCCTTCTCTGGCGTTCGCGCCTGAAGCATCCGGATCAGGAGCACTGCCTAGAAGATCCAGGAGGTCTCTTATTCTCAAATCGTCTAGAGTTGCTCTTCACGCCTTCTGAGAAACTCGTACTAGTGATCGCACCCCGGTGCTCATGCGGCGCCGCGCGCCTAGACCCTGCTCGCAAGCGCCCCGCCTGGCTCAAGGCGATCACGCCCTATTCTCAGTAGCATTCCTTACAGGTTCTGATGCACCTCAATCTCTGACTCGATCCAGAAGGCGCGGCGGGTGCTCACGCGGCCGCGCCCAAACCCTGCGCAGGTGCACCGGCTGCTGGAGAACCAGGAGATCACGCCGGAAGACGTGCTGGGCCTGCGGGACTCGCTGGAGTACTACCTGGAGCAGAACCAGAGCCCGGACTTCTTCTTCGATGACACCATGTACGAAGAGCTGCCGATGGACAAGCTGGACGCGAAAGTGGGCGAAGAGCTGACGAGCCGTGAGTTTCGCCCTTCTTCAAGTTTCTCCCTTTCGGCTCACCCGAGTTCCTGAGATATTCATTTGAGGTCCCGAAGGAAGAGCTTCTTACCGAGATGGAGTCTCGTCGCATAGATAGCTGTTCAGTGTTTTCTGGCTTGGGGTCTTTGCGCCAGATTGCGAATTTGTCTGCTAGATTGTAAGTCTCAGAACACTTGTGATTCATGTGAACTGATCAATATCAATCGATGAGATGGGAAAGACGCATTAACGCCAAAACCTCCTCAAAGCGCGTACGAAAGCATGAGAACAGACGTGCTCACTCTTTCGGCCGCGTTTGTCTCGTCGTTGCAGTATCGAAGGTACTTCCGCTGCCAAAAGAAGCAACGAAAAAGCCCGCTACGGAGCCTCAGGTGGGCAGGCTGACCTTCATAGACGCTAACTATCAGACTGGTTCAGACATGTGGCATATCCTTTTGTACTCTACCCCCAAGTTCTGCATCGCGAAATGGGGTGAGGCCGTTCTGTCTTTTTCTTGTTATGTCACCATCTACTTGAAAGTAACCTGACTGCGCCGTTTCTGGGACTGAAGGCACGATCTGTAGCACCAAAAGATACTGAGGGGTTTGGTACATATCAATCTGATTGGCCTTCGAGCTTCGACGGTTCTCCTTGTTCACTCGCTCTTTCGGTTTGCAACGGGAGATGTTCGAAAGATCAGTTGCATCAAACCTGAAACCCGGAAACAGTCGCGAATACTCCAACCGAGCCCTAAGCGCTCCATATATCCGAAAGATTCGTAAACGGACCCGAAATAATGAACCACAACAGACGTGCCGGCGTGACTTCACGACACATAATGAACTCTTCGGCATCCATTGCGAACCTTATTTTCACTTATTGAACCGCGATTGTTTCTCTGCTTCTCGACAGGCTTCCCCGCCGTCCCCAGCTTCCAACAAGGCCCCGCTCAAGCCACTCCCTTCGCCCAAGGCCCCTCCGGCAGTCAGGACGTCCGCATCTCCTCCCGGAACAGGGCCTCTTTCCGCTCCCACTTCTCCCCGCCCGCAACTCGCTTCCCCGGCGGTCCTCGCCAAAGCCGCGGCCGACCAAGCTGTCGATCCCGCGGCAGCGGCCGCGGCCGCGGCCGCGGCGGCGTCTGAGTCTCCGCTCGCGCGCGCCATTGCGAGCGCGCAGGCCGCCCTCAAAGCGCCGCTAAACCCCGAGCTGAGCGCGAGCGTCGTCGAGGAGCGGCTCGCGACCGCGGAGGCTGAGGCCGCAAGCGCGGCCGCGCGCATGAGCGCGTCGCTGCTCCTGGAGCCGCCAGAGCCGCAAAGCCCCAAAACCCCGCGCCGCCAGGTGGGCTTCAGCCCGGCCGCGCCGCCGGTTCGTGCCGCGCCTGAGCCGTTCGGTTCGAAGTTTCTCATTGAGCCGCCGGAGGCGCGGTCGCCGAGGGCCGGCGCGGGGTTTAGGCAGGGTTTTGGTGCCGCGGCAGCGGGGCCCGCGGGTTTGTCACCGCGGAAGTGGGGCGGAATGCCGACGGAAGTGACGGACGTCCGGAAGCTGAACATGGGCGGCGGAGCGAGGAGTCCGAAGGGGACGCCGACCGGGTCGCCGCGCCAACCGGCCGTCACGCAGGTGAACACGTGGCACTTTTCACGTTCACGAGGATTCTCGACGATGAAAGCTCAGACGTGCGGCGATTGCAAACTCTCCAAACCTTTTTCTATAAAATCCAATTTTGAGTGGTGGCTGGGTTGACTGCTAGGCTTCGAACAGGATTTTAAGGTTCAATTGGATTGAGGGACGTCTCGCTTGGATCGGAAGTCCAGACGTGCCCTAGTGTCTGATTTCCTATCGTCTACCTGATTTTTGAGTAATCACCTCTTCCTACGCAGATCTGGCAAGTGAAGGAGCCAACCGAACGAAAATCACCCCAGGCGGAAAGAGCGGAACCCCCCGAAGCATTACTAGACCAGCATCAAACCCAAAACGAAGAGGCCCTGCGCAACGCGATCGAGTCGCATCTCAAGAAGGCAGAAGAGGTAAGCGATTCCTCCCACAGAGACGGAGTTAACTCTGTACTTGTTGAAAATTCCAGAGCGCTGCAGCGGGCTGGGAATAAGCATCTCTCGCCTCGATGCTCGTGCAAAGATGAGGTGACAGCTTGCTTGTCCAGTCTGCTTTCGCGTTCCGATGGACACAAGCAAAGATTTCCGTTTGATCGTTTGTGCGTATCGGCTTCCCAGAACTGTTGAGCTCTCCGAAGTCCGTTCTTCCTTTCTATTGACCGTCATTACCGCCTTGATGCTCTTGAAAAGGCGGAGGCAGCCAGAATATCTACTCAGGTCGTATGCAAGTCTGCTGCTGATGGCATACTTGCAAATTAGGTTTCTAAGGATGCCTGTTGTCTAAGATTTGTGCAGGTTAATGTTTCGCCCCGGACGTTGTGAAAGTCCAGAGATGGGGATATAACAAATTCCTTTCTTCACCAGGCACGAGGACCGGAAACCCGCCCTTCCAGCGGAGAGTCTTCCACCCAAGTCCACCCGACTCCCGCCCCGACACCGTCGCCCATTCTCACCCCCGAAAGCACTCCGGGAATTAGATTTGGTGCCTCTCCCGGGCCCAATAACCGGTTGGTTTCCCAGTTCGGTTCCGGAAGACCGCCCAGCGAGCTACAGATGGAAGAGAACATGTTCCGCGAAACGGCCGGGGGGGTGGGAAGCCTGGCGGAAACCCCGGAAGCGGTGGGCATGGCGGCGCTCGCGGGAGGCTCTACTCCGGAGCAGCTTGGGCGGCCATTCAATCTGGGTGAGCCAGTGGCGTGGAAACTTGGAACCTGAATGCGTCAGCTGAAAGGACCTACCCATACATCCCCAACTATCCAGGTCTGTTTGGATCGAGCTTTTACATCCATCTGGACTTCGCTATGTCAGGGTAGCCTCATGTGTAACGTACCTTGACAAGTTTGTATAGAATCTACGCGCTGTGTAATCTGTTTCGTGTTACACTGAATCTGGAGTCTCTTTGAGACAGCCTGAGACCTTGCAGCTAGAATTTTTGTGAGGTGCTTCGGCAGATGACAAATTCCGCCGTTCTGAATCTCTTCTTTCACCATACTTGTGTCCTAGTTTCCCCAGATATTCAAGGACGTTTGTCTCTTGACGATTCAAGTACCATGTCTGACCAACGGACGAAACAAACCTACCTCCCTACTGACTCAAAAAAGGTGTCCTGTGACAGTCTCGATCCTTTTCCTGACCATTTGCAGAGCGGCTCTTCTCGGGTATGGGCGTACCGGAAGGCCTCCCAATGTCGCCGGCGCCCAAGAACGAGCTTTTCGCGGCCGCGGCCGCGACCGGGGGCGCGGGCGCGGGAGGTGCGTTCCTACCAGCGCCGGGATCGAGACTGCTGCCACCCAGACCGCCGCGGGCAGGCCTGGTGAGACTTGCGCAGACACCCTCGTGCAGTCTTCGCCCGTTGCCCCGGTAGCTCTTACCGAGCTCGATCTCCTTTTGAGATAATACTTTCTTCTCATATCCTGAAATCTTCACCGATCTCGAATCACTTTTGAGAGCATACTTCCTCCTGTGTCCTGGCTTGTCATTCTCTCTAGGCTTCTTCAAATTGTTTCCACTTGGCAATCTTATAGTGTCTGTCACAGGCCCCCGTTCGCTCGGGAGTCTCCGTCCGTTCGCCCGGTAGGTCTCATCGAGCTCGAACGCAGTCTTAAAGTGTGAACATTCCTCAAACCCCTTTCAAGTGTGTTTGTGAGTCGGTGTAGACCCTTCACGCTCCCGTTACAGGCCCCATTTGCTCAGCAGTCTCCTCCCGTTCCCCCGGTAGCTCTCACCGAGCTCGAGCACCACCTTTTGCTGCGCGAGCGCATGCGCGTCCACCAGGAACAGCTGGCACAGCTGGAGCATATGCGGATGCAGCAATTCCACGCCGCGGGGGGCTACTTTTACCCGCAGGGCCAGCCCCTCGGAATGATGCAGCCGCCTGAGTGGCGGGAGCAAGGTGCGTAGCTTCTTCCTTTCAACTTTTGTGCGTGACTCCCCGCAAGCATACAGGCAGCCTTTCTCAAGATAAAGAACGTCTTCAAAATCTGCTTTCTAATCGCCCGTAATAGCAATGACAATTGAGCATTTGTCGAGGCCAGGATCAGCTCGTGCGGCCGGATTTTGGCTTTTCAAAAACGGAAACTGAGTCCACTTTTACCCGATTCGATGTCTTCGAAGCGAGCTTATGAGAGGGGAAATAAGCTTTCAAGCATATACTAGATTACTGCTTGTTTTGAAAGTTTGCTAGGCGCTTTCGGAGGCCAAGTGATTGAGAACAACCAAGCGTCCCCGCTCATCTGTATGAGAACCAAATCTGCTGACTTTTCTTTGGGTCTTGACTGACGAATGGGACCTCCACGTGCAGGTCCCCATTTTCAGAACCCGCAGGAACGGCGTCCGACCCCCGCCGCCACTGGCTTTCCGTTTCCGGGCAGGACCAGACCGGAACCCGCGGACGTTCAGCCGGGCTCCGGCGGCCCCCGCCCAGCTTCCGCTGGCCCGCGACCCGCTTCTGAAGGCGGCAGACCCGGTTCCGGCGGAGCGAGACCCGGCTCTGGCGGAACGAGACCAGGCTCGGGCGGAAATCGACACGGTTCCGGCAGCTTTAGTCCACCGACAGGTCAATTAAGGCCCCGCTCTGGTGGTCGAGTGTCGGGTTCCGCCAGCGGAAGGCCCGGTTCCGGAGGTAGCGCGCCCAGTTCCGCTGGCGGAAGACCCGGTTCCGGCGGCGAACGCCCAGGGTCTGGCAGCAAGAGGCCCGGATCTGCCCCGGGAGGTCCGCTTTCTCCCGAGAAGAAGCGTTCCGCCGGAACGGGACCGGAGGAGAGTCGCAAGGCGGCGGAAGACAGGGAACGGCTCGAGGCGCTCGAGAACGGAATGGGGCAGTACTTCGGAGACGAGACGCCCAGGTGAGGCGCCCGGCCAACCTCTTTCTTATGTAAACGTGTGGGGCGACTCTCAGAAATTCTGTCCCTCGAATGAGCGGTACATGTTTCGTTTGGTGGAGAGAATGAATCGTCTGTCTTTGCAGGACAGAGGCCCTCTGAAGACATGCTACTTTCTTGAAGGATTGCTCTATGCAGAACAAGAATGTATGTCAGGCTGTTTTCTGACGTTGCCTTTGCTCACCATGACACAGTTGATTTGCACGGCCACTCAAATCTAGGATCCGCTGCACTAATCCAAGTTCCCCTCCCACTTGACGAACGCGTCATATAACATCGATTGTTACAGCCTCAGGTGTCAATCGGTTCATTGACGCTCCTTTCCTCTCGCTGCATGATGCTTCTGAAAATTTTCTCCCTTGCAAGCCCTTGAGCTTTTTCTCGTACGTTTTCCTAGTTCAGGATCTGTGATAATCTTTCTCGCAGGCGCTCGGTGATCTTTGCCATCGTCTCTACATTTCGACTTGTATTCAATTTCCTTCCGCTGCAGGGGGCTGCTAAAGCGTTTCCGTTCTTTGCCGGTGAGTGTTAGGCCATCACGAACAGGCTGTGATGGAGAGCTTTCATATTTTCGCCCGACAAACTTCGTTCCGTTCCGTTTCCCCGCAGGCTGCTCCGCCCGCCGGAGTTCCCCGCCAGCTACCCGACGACGTCCATCGCCAAGGACCACGAGGCCGCGCTCTTCCGCAAACTGGACCTCGAGACGCACTTCTTCGCCTTCTACTTCCAAAAGGTAGGTTTTATTTTCTTCGTTTTTTGAGGAAGATTGATGAAGGTCCGCTTGAATCAGTTCACGTGCAGAAGTGTCGTGTGTTTCTGCTGTGCTCTCTGGCTGCGGTTGTTTCACGTCCCAAGCCGCGCTCACAGAACGCCGGTTTGTCGCTGCACTTGATTTTAGCGCGAGCTGCAACCCACCTCGCAAAACTGTGCCAACTCCTAACCCAAGATCTATACCTGCATCCCCAAGCCGCGGCCGCAGAACGCGGTGTCCCAGCACTTATATCACGCGACCTGAGAGTGACCCACCCCGCAAAAGCGTGCCAACTCCTGACCCAAGGTCTATCGCCACATCCTTAAGCCGCCCGCAAAACCTAGTGTCCCAGCACTTGGCATATCGTGCGGGGTGAGAACCGCCTCGCAAAATCGTGCTTACTCCTGACCCAAGATTCATTCCCACATCCTCAAGCTGCGCGCGCAGAACACGGTGTCCCAGTACCTGGCCGCGCGCGAGCTGAAGCGCAACTCGTGGCGGTACCACAAGAAGCACTGCACCTGGTTCCAGCGCCACTGCGAGCCCGAGGTGACGTCACGCTCGCGCTCCTTTTTTTCCAATACTGTCGTCGCGGAGGGACCTTTCAGCGCATGTTCGAATCGGAATCTCACTCTGCTTCTGTGAGTAAGACGGGGTCGCGGGGCTATATGAATCTTATAAGGCGGTGTATATCCACTCGTGCAGCCGCTCGATATCTAAAAGCGATATGAATTGCTGATGCGAACCCAAGTCCTGGCGCAAATGGTTATTTTTCTGTCTAGCTGGATAATATGATCTACGTTCGGCAGATCGCACTTCGGCCAGAAGATTCGAAAACCGGGCCCGGCAAGAGAAGTCGGAAAGTTTGAAAATTCTCAGCAGCGACGCCCTGCGTTCAATTACAGTCGCGTTCTAAAACTTGATACAACTTCATCAGCCCCTCCAGCACGCTAACTCGATCATATGAAGAAACTTAAAATATCCTACATATCCTACACTGAATCTATATATAGAGAAAGAAAGGTCAAGATAGTATTTTTAATTAGATTTAAGGAAAGTACTCACCGCGCAGTTTGTGACGGACGACGGCGAGACCGGTGCGTACCGTTACTTTGACTTCAACCTGCACGCGCAGGACCCGGGAGTGGCGTCCGGGCCCCCTGAGGGATGGTAAGGATCTGCGTGACACGAAACTACGCCGACCAAGTTTTGATCTGCTTTTTTTTTTCCCGTTGGCCGAAAGTTTTGGCCAGCTACGGAGCTGTCACCGACCGTTGCGACGAGAAATAGTCGTCATTGGAGACACGACAGATTTATGGGCAAATTTCTCGACCAACCAAAAACACAAATTTCACCCCGATCGTTTGCACCGCAACCTCTCATCCGAGTACCACTACTGTCCTTCTGAAAGTTGCACAACCATTCTGTACGTCCAAACAAACTGTTCGTCTCGGTTCTGAGCACCGGCGATCAGCCTTCATCTACCGGATGACGAACCGAAAACTGGGTCAATTCCAAGGGGGCGCAGCCTCCTTTACATGGTGCACGATTCCCTTCCTGTAGTCAGACAGTGCACAAATGTCCCGCATCCAGATGCGTCAGCCTTAACGTCTCGCTCCTGAAAGCCTGTCGTTCAGAGAGTCTCGTTGAGACGAAAAGTCGTTTGATGTTCAGGGACATCATCCGATCCGGAGACAAGGCAACAGGCATGTATATTAATACCGTTCAATCCAAGCCTCCTTGTGAAAGGTCAACTTTAACCAAAGAAAAAGGTTTGAGTGCATAAGGCTTTATCCAGGCACAGCGTCACGTAGGGAGATAGGACGGTCCGCCTTCTGTATCATATTGGCTGACCTTGTCGAGGCAAACAGCCCGGTTTTCAAGTGAACCCAGAAGTCGTTCAGAAAGTAATATTTTTCTCCGATAAAGCTCTGGCTCTATCGCCGATTTCTGAAAGGTCCGTTTGAGAGAGTACAAAAGCGAGCCTTGCGATTCTGAGCCGTTTGATCGTCTCTCCGTGCCAGGTGTCAGCGCATCAAGGAGCGGTTCCTGTTCGAATACAAGCACCTGGAGGACGAGCTGCCTGTGCCAGAGCCGATCGACCTCTTTGCAGGCAGATTCTGAGCTCGAGATCGTATCCCGCAGTTTGATTTACCTGAGAAACGACACCCCGTTCTTGAAGTCGAAGATTATCAAAAGGCAAGACATCTGCAAGGATGCACTTCCACACTTCGTGCCTTCATTTGACAGCCATTACTTGGCGTGCGACTCACGCCTTGACAATATCTGGGCGGGTCCCGGGTAGCTCAGATGATCGTATTCCACCGGGAAAACCAGAGTGTTATCATTAAAGTAGGATATGCATTTATATTCGCTGGATTGACGCTGGTTTATGCGCGTCGAGCAGATGAAATTTTTTTACCGTACTAACGCGTGGTAGGTTCAATCCACCGCATGGCATGCCTTCAAGGCCGCTCTCATGTATGATGTCGGTTATATCCGGCCCCGGATTCCGAGAACAGGGCATCCAAGTCGACGGCGACAAGGTCCCACGTGGTAGGTCCAGAGTAGATCCGGGCCACATGTTGCCGGTTTTCAGCATCGCAGTGTTTTCTATTAAAGGCTTTTTATGGCGCACTTTGTCCTCCTTTGTGGTGCACCTAAGGTGTAGAAGCCTCGTGGAAGGCCACCATAGTGCCTATCAGCTGCAGGCGAATTGACGAAGGATGGAGGACGAGATAGCAGTCCCATTTTGGCGGAACCAGGGAGGAACCAAAGAAAACCCTAATCATGTGGTCCACAAGTGTCCGGACGTTGGTCCGGACGATATAAACCTGAATTCGATGCGCTGTATTCGATGCCGTCGTCCCAGCCATTTTGCCCCTGGTCCCGGCAGTGGCAGGCAAAGTGCCGACTCAATGTGGGACCGGATATACCCGACACGAGGCTAGCTGTAGGAACTTGGGTACCGGTACGCATGCAACAGCGTACGGAACTTCGCGTTGACTATCAGAGCATGCCGACGGCCGAGTCCCGAGTCCCGGAAGCAGAGTCGCGCTCGGGGGAAATCGAACCGGAAAACGTCCGCAAACCCGCCGCCGTGCCCGCCATAAATTCCCCGTACCATTTTTAGTGCCCGGACGATCCCCCTTGGTTGGCACCAATATATGAAACCGGGATTCACGATGCAGGAGGTCACCGGCAGTGTGCGCACGTACCGGTTCTACGGATTCCGGAATTCCGGTACGGAGCCAGCGAGGTTAGCTTTGGGTTATTAAAAGCACCTACTCAACCGTTACTGTTAGACACCCTCATGGCGCTTACCACATTGCAGCCAGGCTCCGCCCGGCCGGCCACGACCGCAGCTGCACTGCCCGCGACTTCGCTTTCCGGTTCATCCAAACTGCAAAATACGGTATGCACCCGGCACCGGATAAGCACCGACAACCGCCATGTAGAAATGTCCATCTAGAATCTACGTACTTGGTACGTACTAGGTAGCTGGGTACCAAGATGAATTCATCAGCTGCGACATCGAGCTCTGAGTCAGACTAGTACA